CTGCTTCTGGGAGTCCTCATTCCCGATTAATGCCAACCTGGAGATCTTTCTTAGGAACTTGAGAGCTACATAATAATCGGATTGAATAAATACAATAATAATTGAAGGCTCAATTACGACTACAAGATATTCTAGGATATTAAACCTCAATCTTCGCTTCTCATGCCTCATTGTCCTTCCTTTGTACCAATTCCCAGAAAACAGACTTTTTAGAATCAGTGTGTAAACCACAATTCCTGTAGCACAGAGACTATTTTTAGTTTATGAGAGAGGAAAGGTATGGTGTTGTGAGGCTACTTAGGACCAGGATAGAGACTGGTATTTCTAAAAAAAAAAAAAAAAAAAAAAAAGATTAAAACAGATGTTCAAAGAATAAAAACAAGATGAGAAAAGGTATCGTGTTGTCAAAACTATCGGAAATATACAAAGGACCTTCCTTGTGAGTGGTTATGAGGGGGTGTTGTGGGCCAAGCTCAAGGGAAGAGGCCAAGAGAATGTCTTTAGCTACAAGTTGTTTTCCTGAAGTCTGAACTAAACATGATTTAAATAGCTGAGTGCTGCGTTTAAACCACCTATGTCAGAGAGAGCAAGCTGGAAGCCACAAAGATTAGGACACCACTCTGACAGTTTAAAAAATAATACTCAGTGAAGTGGCATTATGTGGAGGAGGCAGGATCATAGGATGAAAGGAGGAAGATTTCAGCACTGCTGCTAACTAGCTGCATGATATCAAGCAGCACCTTTCTTGACCCATTTCCTTACTTAGATTAGGATATTTAATTTCTAAGGTTTCTTCTAGCTTGAAAAATCTCATTATTCTAAGACTTTCATGATTAGAGAAGGCTTAGACAGTGGTAGATAATTTCTTGATTAGTGTGCTATAAAGGGAACTCTTAGGATAAATTCACAAGAATCCAAATGATGTGATTATTCAAAGAAAAAGCTCAGATAAAAGATGAATCCATTATGATGGCTCTCCAGTCATCAAGTGAAGTGCCCTCAGGAAAAGCACCTTTTTGGATAACACACTTCAGCCCCCATGGTTCTAAAAATCAGAATGTTTCAGACTGCAATAGTTTATACACCTGTTTTTAGACTGCCCTAACAAAGAGGCAATATCTGAAGATACCAGATCAAGTACATATATCTATGGTAATACTTCTATATGTATGTGTGTATGCATATATATGTATATATGTGTACACACACATACACAAACATGTATGCATACACACATATAGAAGGATATATATATATATACACACACACATACATACTTACCCAAATATCCTATATAATAAAAGTCTAAAATGCAAATTGACCAAATGGCAGAATGATGGAACGACTGATTGCTATGACACACACTGACCACCAAGGGGTTGACACTCAATGCAGGAGCTGCCCCCAGCCTGCAGGCCCAAGGCCAGCCACGACAGGTGCCAGTGGGACCCCCCCCCACCACCATTGCCCTGCCGGTCGCCCCCACAGATTGGCCCTGATCGCTGGCCAGGCCTCTAGTATACATATATATGGCTAAATAACAAATAAAAATCTTCAGACACAATAAATTCAGAGGTATCCTGCATATGTGTAGTGTGTATACACTCACTACACACATACATACCTGTGCATGTATATGCATGGCTGAATGCCTAATAAAAATCTTCAGACATGCAGAGCTCAGAGGGAGCCTAGTCAGAGAGGTAGACAGGGAAGTTCCTTGCAGCAGTCCCTGGGGCCCTAGAGATAAGGCAGGTATTGGGGGAAAGGATTGGGACTGAGACCCCTGTAGCAGTGAGCCTCTTGGAGGGATACAACCCCGGTGGAAGAGGGTCCCTAGTCTACTCCCCCAGCACAAGGAAGCCTATTCTGGCTGTACCTCTGGGAAAATATATTTCTCATGAGAATTTGAAATCTCTGTCTTGTTTAAGGATGTGACTTTATACTAATCACATGGTGAGGGAAATCATAAACTGAGAAATTAAGATAAACTGGTTCTAGGGGGAGTGACACCTCAGGGATACATGGCAGAAGCAAGTGTAAAACCACTCTAAGAGATGCTTCTTTCAACTCAGGCTACAAAGGATTTCCTCAAAAAACAAGACCCACTTCAGATGAACGCCTAATAAAAAATGACAACTGACAAGGAAATGGCCCACAATGGGGTAAACACTGGAATTTTCAGCCCAAGAATGTGAGATAGAATAACAATCATAAAGTATAATATAAATTGTTTAAAATGATTAAATGCATAAAAGACTATATAGGAACTTTAAGAAAAAAAGACATTTGGCTCTAGCTGGTGTGGCTCAGTGAGTAGAACATTGGCCTGGGCACTGAATGGTCACAGGTCCGATTCCCAGTCAAGGGCACACACCTGGGTTGCAGGTTTGATCCCTGGACCTGGTCAGGGAGCATGGGGGAGGCAAGTGATCTCTCTTTTTTCTTCTCTCTTTCTCCTTAGTCCACCCTCCCTCTCATTTTCTCTCTAAACAAAACAATCAAAAAGGCATTAGGATGAGGATTGATAAAAAAACAAAGAAAAGGCATTCAAAGAACAGTAGATATTAAAAATAAAAATAAACCTTCCATAATGGGAAATGTCATTGGAATGAGGAGTTTAATGGATTAAACAGATTAGACATAGCTGGAGACTGTAAAGTGAACTGGAAGCCCAACCTGAGGAAACTACCCAAAGGTAGGATAGACAAATGTGAATATATTACTTCCAAGAGATAACTTATGAATTGTCTGAATCTTGGAATGCCTTTCAAAAAGTGAAGCAGTAAAGTTAACTATCTGAGCCAAAGTGTGTGAAAAGTTGGCTGGAATTGCAGGTGCCATATGGCAGCCATTCGCCACATGTTGCTACTGAGCACTTAGGTCTGGCTAGTGTGACTAAGAAACTGAATTTTAAATTATATTTACTTTTAATTATTTTATATTAAAAAACCTATTCTTGATTCAATTATTAGAAAACTCTTAGGTATGTTTGGAACAAAGTACATTTCATACAAATGTACTTTGTATGACAAAGTATTTGGTGAGAACTTAGTGTCTGAATTGAGATATGCTGCTAAATGTAAAATGTACACCAGATTTCAGAAACTTAGTATGAGAAAAGTAAAATATTAATTTTACAAATAATTGAATGTTGAAATATTTTGAATGTTATGTAAAATATAGTATTAAAATTAGTATCCCCTGGGCTTCTTAATCTATAGCCACTAGACAATTAAAAATCACATATATAGCTCACATATTTCTTTTACACAGCACTATACTAGAACATATACTTAAATAAAAAATGGTTGAGATTTGAGTTAGTCCTTCAGATCTCAAATGCAGAAAGATGGAGAGTGGGGAGTGGGAGCTAAATAATTCATTTGAAGAGATCTATTGCAATTATAGGAAGCTGAACATGCACAGGCGTTCTCTCTTCCTCCGTCATTAAAAATGAAGCCACTCTAAGGACTCTGGCTGCAAGTCACGACTTCTTTTCCCTTAAGTTCCAGGCAATGTTGCAGTGTTTAGGTTGAGAAAGTTGTTTCTACAATTATTAAAGTGACTATCAACATGGAAGGTGCACATATATAAAAAAATGTATATACACACATTCACATACACATGCATACACACACACACACACACCTATTTTTGGTTAGGTAAATTTTTCTGGGTTTACCTGTATGAAACAGTGTAGTTTCTGAAATACTCAAACTCAGAATCCACATCACTGACTCTCATCTGGAGACCTTGCTAGAAATGCCAACCTTAACCCAGTGAATGACTATTATCTTAAGAAGTCAATCTTTTGTTAGTTCATTCATTTTATTTACCCATTAATTAGAAATTGGTAACATGAAATTCTTTTTAGGTAAGTGCTGATAGAACCTTCTATTGACTGGATCTTCTTTCTCCTCAGGTTACTAGTACTTGCCTTAATACTGTATTTAATCAATTATTTTATGATCTACTAAGAATGCTGCAATTAAACTATGATGCAGTATTGATTTTAAGATGTAGCTCTAAAAAAGAAAAAAGAAAAAAAGATGTAGCTCTATTTGAGATGTCAAAATGTGAAAAATATGTATCTTTGATGAAATAGCACCAGAGTTCTATAGTTTCTTTTGAGACTCAAATTTTATACCACCAATATCTTGACCTGGATGGCACGCCACACTTCCCTTCACACACCGGAATCCATATGGCTCCCTCAGCTCACCTTGATTTTCTTCTGAATTCTCTCAGTAAGATGCAGCTGATTCTGTCCACTCTGAGAAACACTGTTCTCCAAGAAGAGCCTCTATAATTAGTGCTGGTGCTGTAATCCTCCTGGCTGCCAGCCAAGGGTTTGCTGTTTCACTGTCAATGTTTTCTTTCAGGTAATTTACAGACATGCTGGGGACATCAACCAGCCTCCCAATGCATCCGTAAGAATCACTTCACACTTTTCTATTTAGAGAGGTGCCTGTTTGACGCTACTCCCTGTTCCTCATCTTAAAACTGTCTCCTTATTTAAGACAAAATATCCCCAGCTTGTGCTTTAATATTTAAATATTCATCCCATTAAACTTTTCACTAAAGCATTACTTTTACTCCAAACATTACTTTTACTCTAATATGTTCTGAGTGTGACAAAAAGCATACACAGTAAAGAAAAGGAGTCAGACAGTAGGTTACCACTTAATTCCAATAACATGACCTTGAGATGTTTTCATGCTGGAAGGAACCCCACTGATTTGTGTACTCTGAGTGCAACTGTGACTCAGTGTCACCACGAAGTGAATAAATGTGTAATGTTAAACTTAACCTGTATACCCTGAGGGCACTGCCCTGTATTTTTATTATTTAATCAGAAAAAACCCATTAATATAGCACACCTACCTCTAAAGCATCATTTTTCTCCATAAAATCAAAATGAACCATTTAATATCTATAAGTGATTTAATTTGGTTAAGACTTAAAAGGAAACCAAGAATAAAAATTTTGGTAACACGTTTTTTAAAAAATGCTTTATTTAAAAATAGGATTTCTTTAAAAAAGAGAACTTTTATACACAGTTGCTTAGTTTAGAAACAGTCAAAAACACAATAAAATAAACCCAGATTTAGAAATGATTTGTAACATACACAATACTGGTGCTGAACAAGGTAGTTTAAATATACGATTCTTTTATTATTAATCAAATGTGATTAATTCACATTTGTGAAACCCAGTGGTTGGGACTAAAGCAAAGGTCTCGTCTGAAATCTCTCTTCTTGAGGAACGGTGGCCACCCTTCCTGGCAGGTACAGAAAGGGCAGCAGCTGGCAGTGTATTCTGCTGAGTGCTTTTGTGTCCAAAACTATGGCTCTACCACTTTTATCATTTTTCTATTTTCGTCTTTGACATTTACTTATATGTGGCTACAGCACATGGCCATCTATACCAGTTTTCTTTTTTCATATTAATTTTTAAAAATGGATGTTTTTAAGGGCAAGAAGTATAAACTGCTTTGATAGCACATGAATCCGAGCTAATGGCCTTAGGATATCATCACTCAGTATGATGTTGCTCTCCCAGTCAGCACTCTGAGCAGCTATGAACCAATCTTTCCTAGCATAGTAACGAAACATTTCAAACTACATTCAAACATCTGATACAGATTTGTAATAAAGCTAGAGAAATGGTTTGTCAACTAAAGTGCTATTAGCTACTGTATTCAAGAGGTTATCTTAATTTCACAATCTCAAATTTTTAAACCCAACCACAGCCACTGCTTCTCAAACTGGGGAACACTAGCCATTTTCCTGGTTGTCTATTTTACTCAAAGATTTAGAAAGATGTTTAAAACTTTATTGATTTTAAAAAGTTCTGTCGAGTATATTCCCAAACCAAATCAGAATATTTTAAAGATAAGACATATAACTCTTCAAAGAAATTACAAGTTGGTATTTTGATCTTTGCCCTAAATCCAATGAGAAATATTTCAGTAGTAATATCTGTGAAACAATGGCCTAAGAGACCCTGATTTATGAAAGAATAGCCAGGTTCTTACTGACAGTAAATACAAGTAAAGTCCAAAGTTCTGACTCATTCTCTTGAGTTTCATCTTCAAAAATAACATAATTCTCTTATTATATACTGGTCAGGAAGAAAGTCAAGGAAAGAACTCTGGGCTGATTTGTATTTTACACTGTTTAATAATTAGAGGAATGCTGCAGTCAGAGAAAATTGCTGGCTTACAACTAAAAATACACAACATGTGTCATAAAAAATAGTGGAACTTCTCAATCCAAAAGATTAGAACCTGACCCACTGGCAATAATAGAAACAGTAATTGTGGGTGGTTTTATCCTTCTCTCAGTCACATTAAATTATATCATCCCTGTTCTTTACTCTCTTTTTGTTTAAGATAAGTACACGGTACCTTTCTGAGTTGTCATTAACTATATCACCGCCTTCAGAACCCCAATCCTCGAGGAATTCTTACCCGACTCCCAGGGGATCTTTTCTGTGTGTCTTGGGGGTGAGCCCAAACTGCCTGCCAATAGGATCTATTTGTCAAATAGAAAACTGATGGTCATTCTCTGTATAAATAATATCTATAAAGAACAAAATAAAGTTGCCAATGAAATTATATGAGTCAAATTTACAAAGTTCTTTTTCAAACAATGTGTCAACTTTATAAGGCCATGTAAGGAAATGATAATCTGTAAATCAAGTTATCATCCAACACATTTAACAATTAAATATAGTTAAATAGGTTATTGGGTCAAAAACAATCCTAGATAGTTAAGGATTAACCTCATCAATCCCACAACTTAATGAGACCATCCCAGCCACAGGTGATGACTTTAGATGTTTCGTGAGGATGCCACACTGCACCAATACACACTTTATCGTGAGCTTTAAACCGACTGTAGAGTTTTGTGGTCTTCCAGTCCCAGATGTTCAACTTTCCATTTCCATCTCCTGAAATCACATAGCTACAATGGGAAGAAAAATAAATTCAAATTATTCAAACACCTCAAACTGGTAAAGTAGATGAAGAACAGAGAAAGAGTTTACCTTTTTCACCATATGTAACTTAGTAAGAAGAACAAGGGCCCTAACTGGTTTGGCTCAGTGGATGGAGGGTCCTGGGTTCGATTCCGGTCAAGGGCATGTACCTTGGTTGCGGGCACATCCCCATTGGGGGGTGTGCAGGAGGCAGCTGAGTGATGTTTCTCTCTCATCGATGTTTCTAACTGTCTATCCCTCTCCCTTCCTCTCTGTAAAAAATCAATAAAATATATTAAAAAAAAAAAAAAAGAACAAGGTCTAGGTCTATAAGTCTATAATGTAAACTTCTACCAAAAAATCATCCCCATTGAGCAACAACCTAAGAGTAAAAAGTAATTTTTAACTTGGAAGACTGAGATGCCCAAGGGCCACGATGAATACGGTATCACAATCACTCTCTGACAGTCAGAATCAGGGTAGGGGAGTCAATGTCACTGAGCCACCGAACACATCCAGACCCTTTCTGCTGTAATAGACTCTAGCACCTTTATAATTACTTCCTGGTCCCAATGCCTTTTGAATATGTCTAAGACTGACCCAGAGGCAGAAGTCCTAAGGCCCAATCATCAGGCTAAACAGATTTCTGAATTACTGTTACACCTATGTGTTTTAGCTAAGAATAGGGGAATGAATGCAGAGTTTCACTTAGAAAGACTCTAGGCTTCACAAATCTAGTGTGACTTAGAAATAATCAGAAGTTAGGTTGAGATTTCAACACAGAAAAGCTGTAGCGAAGTTGTTAACTTCAACAATGCAATACATGATTAATTCTTCTGGTGTTCATTCCACCACAGCAATATAGCCATTATAGTCCTTCAAACCTTGCTTAAAAAAGCAGAGAGATATATGGCATTGCCTATATAGACAGGGACTTTTATGTGGTTAAAGGGCACAGGACTATACAATATAACAGTGATGGCAAACCGATGACACGCGTGTCAGAGGTGACACGCAAACTCATTTTTTTGGTTGATTTTTCTTTGTTAAATGGCATTTAAATATATAAAATAAATATCAAAAATATAAGTCTTTGTTTTACTATGGTTGCAAATATAAAAAAATTTCTATATGGGACATGGCACCAGAGTTAAGTTAGGGTTTTTCAAAATGCTGACACGCCGAGCTCAAAAGGTTCGCCATCACTGCAATATAAGGAGATATATGAAAGAACTTAAAAAAACAGAAGGTAATTTTCATAACTTGTTTTTGCCCTTTTATCTGGCATTTGACAATTTGCATAGCTCTCAATCAATTACATATGTGAGAGTGACGTAAAGTGTTAGTATTTGTACAACAGAAGTTTATAACATCATATTTGAATATAAAAATACATGAGAAGATTTAAACTTACCTCATGTCTGGTGAAAAGTCCACCTGACAAGCGTAGCCTGCTACCATATGGCCCTTAAAAATTTTCTTCTTATTTAATCTAAATCTGTTCTGTGCTCCAAAAATTAATATTTGGTTGTCCATTGATTGGCATGCTAGCCATTTCCCTGCAAATTCAATAAATAAGACATTTTAGAGAGAAAAATTTTTTTTTTTAAGAATTTTCATTCTAAATATATTCAGTCACTCATATTCTTTTGTTCCCAACTATTTTATAATAATAGGAAAATAAATTTACCATACCACGTGTAAAATGTTACAATCTGTCACTGACAAGAGGCATTTGTATATAAAATAATGGAATTTGCTCATATAATCCTGTGTCATTGAACACTCATCTTTAAATAAGGATATACAGATATTCCGAGTTTATACAGAAATAAAGTAAAATTTTATGAAATTAATCTGTATTAAATATAGACAATAGAATCGTGGGGAGACAGAGACTTCTCTATGTTGATTACAAAAAAGGAAGGAAAAATTAACTTTAGATGAGAAAACCTAGGATTATATATAAGGCTATATCCAAAAAAGTTATGATTAAAGTAATCTCAGTAACTGTTGTTGAAAGGTCAGTACATCTATAGCATAAATTACCTTGCTCTTAAAAGGCAATGCATTACTGAACAAAAACAGTATTAAACAGATTTATCTTTTTTATTTTGCCTGAGAAAATATTTTACAGTGAAATGCTAAGATGTTCTCATTGTGAGGAACCAGACCAAAATAAAAGAACTCATAATAAACCACTAAATGAGTTGTAGAATATGATTCTGTTGGAAGGAGAATTGTTTTAAAAAACCTGATTCTCAGATGGGGATACTTAGATGCTTAGTCAACATTAGTTGCAAATCATTGTTTCATTTATTTTTTTCTTGTAGAAAACAAGAGCCCAGCTGGTGTGGCTCAGTGGTTGAGCATCAACCCATGAACCAGGAGGTCAGGATTCGATTCCAGGTCAGGGCACATGCCCAGGTTGGGGATTCAATCCAAACAGGGGGTGTGCAGGAGGCAGCCGATCAATGATTCTCTCTCATCATTAATGTTTCTCTTTCTTTCTTTCTTTCTTTCTTTCTTTCTTTCTTTCTTTCTTTCTTTCTTTCTTTCTTTCTTTCTTTCTCTCTCTCCCTCTCCCTCCCTCCCTCTCTCTCTCTCTCTCTCTCTCTCTCTCCCCACCCCCCCCCTTTCTCTCTCTGAAATCAATAAAAACATTAAAAAAACAAGAGACTGGGTGAAGTGACTTCATATGAAAACCAATGATTACTTCTAATAATGAAAATTTTCCTTATACAGTATGGCACTGTGACAGAATTGCCCTCAAAGAGAATGGCCAAGGTTCTTTTCAAGAGAAATCACACCATGTCTTAGAAACTCATTTAAAACACATTCTAACTCACCGTTTGGAGACAAAGTCACTGCAGGCATTGAGTGCATACTGGGTTCTGCTATATACTTGAAATCCACAGGGATATCCCTAAATATTAAAAATAGCATATCAGAGTAAGTAATTTTTAAAAAGTACCTTTAAAAGAATTATCTCTGAACCAAAGAAATATATGAAAGAACTCTTGAAAAAATATATTTAATAAACCTTTCATGAAACTTTCTGGGGGGAGAAAAATCACAAAATGACATTCTATTGCATATTATAAATCTTTTACTTTACAAATGACTTTGTGATAATTATAACAGTGTCAATGATTTAATCTTTAAGCTCTATTTGATTTAAACTTTGGCCTTTATGTTAAAAAAATCTGTTACTAAAACTTCTTTAATAATAAGCTCATCTAAAAATGTGTCATGGTAGGCAGAAGCAAGATGTCTGAGGCAAAGCTACAGGGAAACATTCTTATTTTACCTGTCAGTCAACCTTAACTTTACTCTGCAAGCTGGTGAGAGTGCTAAAGAGTCGTCAGCAATGCAAATGGAGGGTAAGCAAAGCTATAGAGGGATCTGCAAGCAGGTTGAGCCCCTCCAAAAATGATGAATTTCAGGACAGGTAAAAAAGATTAAGTGCTTGTACTTGGACACTTTCTATTTTTCAGTTTATATGTAAAATATTACAAATGTGTAATGTACAGAAGAAATAGCACTAAAAAATTCTCATGTGAATGTTCCAAACGATAAAACAAAACGAATCCAAAACTTAGTCACCTAAATTTAGAATCATCAAAGTGCGTTTTTATTTTTAATATTCTCCATGATAAAAAATTCTTTACTAATTCTGAAGGGTTTTGGTCTTGTTGCTTTTCACGACAATTTTTTTTTTTTTTCAATGTGTGGGAAATGTAATTTCATATTATCTCAGAATATAAAGCAGCAATTTAAATTTCAAACTATGGTTCAAGTTCCAAGACTTTAATTAAATGGAAAATAATAATAACAACAACAATTTGCCTTTAAGTAAGGACATTCTCTATCCATTTATCCATCTAGAAGAAGCAGCAAATGATTAAAAAAAAAATTCTATCAGGGTCTTGGTTAAAGGAAAACATTTTAAGGTATTACCTGGGGAACAGTATCATTTATCAAGTCAATACTTTACACATCTGAGGTACCAGTGACAATTACATTCAGAATGACTCAAATGTATTGAAAAGAGCCTCAATTTGAAAAAGGTCCAACTATTTTTCCCTCCTCATGTTTATTATTAGTAGCTAGTAATTATATAATTTGGGTTAAAACATAAGTGAATTTTCTAAATTAAATGAGCCATAATCCAGATTCATATCAACCAAGTTTTACTAAAAGCAAACAAAAAAATTTCAACTTATCCCTTATTCCAAGGACTCTTGGTATAATGAGCTCTAGAACAAGAAATTATTCTGAACACCCTGTGAACTTCATTATTGCTTGTAAAATATGCCTTCAAGGCACAGTTATATTTAATAAACACAACACTATTTTCTAATTGGAAACTGTAATTCAGTATAATAAATTAATAACCTCTCTTACAAATGATCTTCAGTCTGGAAATGAATAACTGAAAAACCCTTACAAAAATCTATAAAAATTTAAAGCTATAAGATAACCAGTAGTATCAACCTCTGTTAAATTTTCTTTTAAATACATATATATATGTGTAATATATATATTTTTGTTGTTGTTAATCCTCACCTGAGGATATCTTTCCTTCTTTTTTTTTTTTTTTTTTTTTTTTTAGAGAGAGTGGAAGGGAAAGAAAGAGACAGAGACAGAGACAGAGAGAGAGAGAGAGAGAGAGAGAGAAACATTGATGTGAGAGTCACATCGATTGGTTGCCTCCCACATGTGCCCAGACCAGGGCTAGGGATTGAGCCTGAAACCAAGGTACGTGCCCTTGACTGGAATCAAACCTGGGATCCTCAGTCTTCAGGTTGACACTCTATACCAGGGGTGGGCAAACTTTTTGACTCGAGGGCCACAATGGGTTCTTAAACTGGACCGGAGGGCCGGAACAAAAGCATGGATGGAGTGTTTGTGTGAACTAATATAAATTCAAAGTAAATATCATTACATAAAAGGGTACGGTCTTTTTTTTTTTTAGTTTTATTCATTTCAAACAGGCTGGATCCGGCCCGCGGGCCGTAGTTTGCCCACGGCTGCTCTATACACTGAGCAAAACTGTCTGGGGCTTAAAAATATTTTAACAAAATAAAAACAACTGCCGAAACCACTTTGGCTCAGTGGATAGAGCGTCGGCCTGCGGACTGAAAGGTCCCAGGTTCAATTCCGGTCAAGGGCATGTGCATATCCCTGGTGGGAGATGTGCAGGAGGCAGCTGATCGATGTTTTCTAACTCTCTATCTCTCTCCCTTCCTCTCTGTAAAAAATCAATAAAATATATTTAAAAAATAAAAAAATAAAAACAACTGGGTGAAAACATGTCTATGACATCTTATGAATTTAGCCAACCAGAATATCACAGGCTGCTCAATATCTAATAATCTCCTATACTTTAAAACTATAGAGTAATGCTCAAGAAAACCAAGTTTTCTTTTATTTGTTTTCCTTTATCATTGTGCTACTCTAAGCAGATACCGGATGTAAACAGAACTTGTCTGAAAGCCAATAATTTTCCTACACTTTGAGGTGGTCAGGGTCTCCCTTTCTCTCTCAAGCATGCTGCTAATATTACTAGTAATTGATTTTGGGTATGGCTATATGTGATTAAGATAGTTCGAGGGATCCTGAGGTAGTTTTGTTCCCTGCTTGTCTTTATAGCAAGACTGAGCCTCGCATGCTTTCTGACTATGGAATCTAGATACAAGTTATCTTCTCTTCCCACCAGATGGGTCACATTCACCTAACTATCCATCCATATAATTATGAATTCAAGTTCTGCATGTTTATATAAGCCTCATCATATCCACAAAGCAAAAACCTGTCATATATACATAAAAGAGAAAGGAATCAAAGCATACGACTACAGAATATCTTCAAGTGACAAAGAGAGGAAGAAACAAAGAAACTATAAAACTAACCAGAAAACAATTAACAAAATGGCAAGTCCATATCTATGAATAATTACTTTAAATGTAAATGGACTAAATTCTCCAAAAGACACATAGTGGCTGAATGGATTAAACAACAACAACAACAAAACACACCAAGAACCAACTATATGCTGCCTACAAGAGACTCACTTCAATTTCACACATAGATAGAAAATGGAGGGATAAAGATATTCCATGCAAATGGAAACCAAAAGAAAACAGGGATAGCTATATTTACATCAGATAAAATAGAATTTAAGCCAAAAACTATAATCCTATATAATAAAAGCGACTGGTCCACCGGTTGACTGTCTTCCCCTTGGTGGTCAGTGCACGTCATAGTGAGTGGCTGAGTGGCCTTAGCATATCATTAGCATATTACACTTTGATTGGTTGAATGGACGACTGGACACTTAGCATATTAGGCTTTTATTATATAGGATTATTGACCTTAAAAAAGAAGAAACCCACCATCTGTGACAACATAGATGAACCTGGAGGGCATTATGCTAATTTGAAATAAGCTGAACAGAGGAAGACAAATACTGCAAACTATCATTTATATGTGCATTCTTAAAAAAAAAAAAGTTAGCCCTAACCGGTTTGGCTCAGTGGATAGAGCATCGGCCTGCGGACTGAAGGGTCCCAGCTTCGATTCCAGTCAAGGGCATGTGCCTTGGTTGAGGGCACATCCCCAGTAGGGAGTGTGCAGGGGGCAGCTGATCGATGTTTCTCTCTCATCGATGTTTCTAACTCTTTATCCCTCTCCCTTCCTCTCTGTAAAAATCAATAAAATATATATATTAAAAAAAAAAAAGCCAAACTCATAGAAGTGGAGAGTAGAATGGTGGATGCCAAGGGCTGGGGAAGAGGAGGGGTTGGGAAAAAAATTGAGGCTACAAACTGAATAGGGCACAAATTTTTAGCTGTAAGATGAGTTAAGGGCTGAGGATCTAATGTACAACATGGTGACTACAGTCAATACTGTATTGTGTAACTGAAATTTTCTGAGACAGGAGAACCTAAGTTCTCATCAAACAACAAAGGGTAAATAAAGAGGTGATGGATGTTAATTAACTTAGTGGGAATCCTTTCACAATGTATATCAAATTATTATATTATACACTTTAAATATAATTTTATTTGTCAATTATAACTCAGTGAAGCTGAAAAAAAAAGACCTCAAGCTTTGGAATCATTTTGATCCAACACAGAAAGTTTAGTATGCCTGACACATAGAAAGGGCTCAATAAGTATGATATAATTAATGATTATGACAACAATGATTTCCTTAGATATGCAGTACATACTACGTGCCAGGCATTGTGCTGGTGCTGGGGACAGATGGAGAGCAGACACAGGTCTTTTCTCCTGGTTAAGAACTTGCTCAGGGAAGAGGAACAAGTAAGCTATGGAAAGCAAAGGGTTACTGCGATGATGGTGAACAGGCACCAAACTCATGTGAGGCCTGGTTAGGGAGGATCCAATAGCAGTGAGCATTCAACTGAAGTCTAAAGAATGCCATCATTTATAATCAAATACTATTATGACTCTAGGAGTATTTCTTAAGCTCTGAGAAGAAAAAAAAAATAAAGTTTTGTTAACATCACCACTTAACTTAATCAAAATATTTTGCTGACCAATGCTCTTCTTTAGAGAAGAGCACAAATGTTCTTAAAGCCTTGTGACTGTGGCATCATTTAAATATTTACCAATTTTTTTGTATCACTATACATTTTTAAATGGAGCTGAACTATTACCTGAAGATACAAACATCTGAAAGTGTAAGTATAATTAAATTGTTAAAGTCTATTAACAAAACAAAACAAGTTTATCGATGTTTAGTCTTCAGAGTATTGTGCAAATGGTCTAAGGCAGCGGTTCTCAACCTGTGGGTTGCGACCCCTTTGGGGGTCGAACCACCCTTTCACAGGAGTTGCCTAAGACCATCGGAAAACACATATATAATTACATATTGTTTTTGTGATTAATCACTATGCTTTAATTATGTTCAATTTGTAACAATGAAAATACATCCTGCATATCAGATATTCACATGACGATTCATAACAGTAGCAAAATTACAGTTATGAAGTAGCAACGAAAATAATTTTATGGTTGGGGGTCACAACATGAGGAACTGTATTAAGGGATTGCGGCATTAGGAAGGTTGAGAACCACCGGTCTAAGGTGACTCATATAAAACTTGGTGTCCATTATCAGATTTTCTGCAGGTAATATCATTTCTAAAGTAAGAAAGAGCTTGGTTATAGTCTCAAATCATGGGCACTAAGGATGATGCTAACTCTCCCTTTATGGGAGGTCATTTGGAAGAAGTTTACTGGTGGTGAGTGTGGGAGAAACTGCAGTTAAATTACATTAAATTTTCAATTACTCAAATTGCTCTGACAATGGTTAGGGACCTGCTCAGCTCCCTGAAGGGACTTAGTTTCAGAGGGAAACTCCTAGCTACAGTTTAAGGCTTCCCACTTCTTAAAGCAGAACAACTTCTGGGGGTGGGAAGACATACTCCTTGCAAGGCTGTAGGTAACCATAGTTAAGCTGTGCTTCATAGCTGACTAGAAAAACAAGCTGGGTTCCATTCAAGCATTAATTTTAAAAAGCTTATTATGCATTTCTTTGGAAATAATTATAAAACATGATCTATGACACTTAGTGAAATTAGCTTTTAGTATTTCTTGATTTTAGAAAAGTGTTTTTTCCTTTCTCTCTCTAGGAAAGCAAAATTCACCGATACAGGGTGGGGCAAAAGTAGGTTGTCAGTACGTGAAAAACAGAGTTTATTCTTGTATTATTATTTATAAACTATTGCATTATTTTCCATACAAACAACTGTAAACCTACTTTTTTCCCAACCTGTATATTCTGATTATAGGTAAAAACACTGTTTTCTACCATATGGACTATAAATGGCAGGCAGGAAACAAGGGAGATGACATAGGCAATTTTCAGTACTAAATAGTCAAAATGCAGGCATTAAAAATTTGAGATTTTTTAATTTGGATTGGTTCTGAGGCCAGGATCTTATGCTCAAACTGGCATAGTCTACACATTTGTGGCGCCTACTTCTCATTAGTCATTTTGCAAAGATGAATAAGACAGCTAATAGAGGATATAAGACTGCACTATAAAAACTTTTCACCGCTGCCAGAAAAGTGACTCAATATATATATCCTTTAGATAGATTATCCAAAGACTATGAAAAGTATCATGTTTAAATTTTTATTTCGATATTCTGGATACTTAAATAGTTATAACAGTTTGACTGGCAAGCCAGAACTCACCTTTGAAAAATATTCAAATGGCTACATATTATCAGGGCTCGTCTTTGCCCACAAATTTTTAAATTGCTTCTTTTATATATCAGATTTTCTACTGATTGAAACTCACCATTCCCAAACTCTAAGGCTCTTATCATCAGATGTGCTCACAAATCTCCTATTCTCATCAACAAAAACAATGGTGTTGACAGCTCCCAAATGCCGATCATATTCCTGCACAATTTCTCCACTTCGAATGTCCCACTGTATAAACGAGAAGAGGTAAAGACGGAAGTGGAGCAGATTTATGAAAACAAAGAAAGATTGTAATTATGGAAAGTGGAGAAATAAAAAGATTTCCAACATCATGTTTTTATGAATTTACTATTTTCTACTAAGAAGAGCATCAGCAGTCCCTAAAAGTAGCCAACATTAAACAAGTTAATATTCCTTATTCCATCCCCAGAGACAACATAAACCTCAGGAATCTTAATAAAAATACCGTGGAAAGACTTACTTGCACAATCTTTTTATCAGACATCCCAGCCACAAAGAGATTTTGTTTATCTTCATCAGGATTAAATTTGACACAATAGGGTACTTTTCGGTTAGTAAATCTTGATATACACTGTCCTAAAACCAAAGACCCAAGTTAAAATAGGCAAAATAAATTTGTCCACTTAAAGATAACCCTGGGATTAAGATCTAAAGATTATTTGCTTAATAAATTCTGAGGAAAGGCAACCTGATTGTTCTTTATTAGAAATCACATCATTCCTTCTCACGGATTTTTAATGATTAAAAATACGTTTTTCAAAAGTAAATCTGTATCAACAATTGCAGAATAGATAAAAGTCTCCAGGTGATTATGATGTGCAGTAAGAGTTGAGGACCACTGCTAAAGAGGTTAAGAATAAGGGCTCTGACATTAGAGAGATCTTCGTATGAATACAACTTGGCTACTTATTAGCTGTGTGACCCTGAAGATGTTAAGCCTGTTTTCTCCTCTATAACAATAATAGTACTTATCTCACAGGGATATTTTAAGGATTGAATGAGATACTGAATAAAAGCACTTAGCATAATGCTTGGTGAACACAAAGTGTTCAATAAATGTTAGCATTATCTTTATCCTTAAAACCCAGCAAGATTGAAAGATGGTTCTTTAATTACACAAACTTTTACTAGCCACAATGTACTGATGCAATTCATGTCTGTGAATATATACAACCAACTGGATGGACCATGGGAGTTTAGACCTACATTTTAATCAATTTGGGCGGTTAAATTTAATTCTGTTCATCAGACATCTACTGTGCTTCTATTATGTGCAAGGCTGTGTGTTAGGTGATATAGGGCAACAAAAAGATCAATTAAATAATCAATGAAAGATTTCAAACATCTTTGTCTATCAATATGTTTGCTTTATAAATTGCATTTGGTGGAAACAAAGCTTCATAGTGAAAGAGCTATTTATTCAGCTGAGCTTCAACTCTACAAAGTGATATAAGCTGATAGTCAATGATAGGAGAATTAGCAGTTAGAGAAGGTACCATTTTGCCACAGACCACCACACACATTTCATTTTAAAATGCTAATTTAGCCCAGCCAGCGTGGCTCGGTGGTTGAGCGTCGACCTGTGATCCAGAAAGTCACAGTTCGATTCCCGATCAGGGCATATACCTGGGTTGTGGGCCTAATTCCCAGTGTAGGGTGCGCAGGGGGCAGCTGATCAATGATTCTCCCTCATCATTGGTGTTTCTCTCTCTCTCTCCCTCTCCCTACCTCTCTGAAATAAATACAAATATATTTAGGAAAAAAAACAAACCTCCCCCAAAATGCTAATTTATAATTTAAGTATCTATTAGTATAAGTGAGCTCTTACCTGTCTCAGTGTCCCAGAGCTTAAGATACCTGTCGTAAGCTGCACTGAGGAACTGTGTTCCTGCAGTATTAAAGCAGATGTCCCTAACAGCTTTACTGTGACCTAAAGGCAGAGACAATAGAAATATAGGTGAGGTGAAGTATCTTTATTTAAAACATAAACACCATAAGAAAAATAGCATTAAACAGTGTTTTCTAAGCCATCTGTGAGTAAAAAAAAAAAAAAAAAAAAATCACTGAAACCCCATCCCCTGATTTACTAACTCAGAATAGGTTTTATGTGGGCTTGGGAATGTAGGTGGTTCCCCTTCAAAAGTTCCTCAGGTGATTCTGATGCATAACATTTAGGTAAGAACCAAGAGAAAAGCTCTAAGTTTTTTTTTTTTTAAAGTCTGTCATGGCAACTTCTTAACATGTAATATATATAACTGATGACTAAACAGCTAAGAATTTAAGGAAACACAATAGGCCAATTATTGCCAATGAAGGAGAAATGACTGGTGACATTTTGGAGGTTCACTCTGATTACTCACTAACCTGGAAGTAAAAACACAGTGATCTAAACCTCAAGTTCATGAAAATTGTAGCCCTTATTCAATAACTGCATATTTGCGTGATCACATTACCAAATTTCATAGAAATAGATTCAGAATCTGACACTAAGCCTTTTTGAAAACAAATATTAGCTTCTATTTTGTTTTAAGATTGCATGTTGGCAATAAATTAATTTTACGGTACTTTGTTTGGAAATCATTCTTGCCAGACCAATCAATTCTTTTGACAGTTACAGGGATAAATAAAATATGGCTAAATGAAAGCAGAAACTTTCATATTTTTTTACCACCCAGCATCACCAAGACTGCCAAATACATTAGTGCAAAATGTGCAGGGCAACCACACACAGCAGCCCTGAACCACCACCACCACCAATGACCTCTAGCGAGGCACTATGTGTCACAGCAATTAGGCAATCAGGTATCTTGTCTCTAGCAGGAGTCCAGTCAGAGCTGCTACCATCTTCCTAAGCAGGACATTTTCAGCTTCCCACTGAAAAACTGTCTGCCAGTGCAGGGGAGACAAATGGGGGACCAAATCCACTACATCTGCAGGAGACATTTTGTTCCCCTGTATGCTGCTGAGAGCCTTCCCATGAATCTTCAGGCTGCTACACAGCTTGGACAGTATTTACTTGTGCAGCGAGGCTCTAAAATCATACAGCATTGCAGAACACCTCCTACTTCAATCTAAAAACAGAGCCACTAAAATTCACACAAAAGTGTTTCAATGCAATACAGTTAAATTTGGAAACATAACTAGTCTTCACACAACATCTGACAAAGGCAATAAACCATTCTCTACCAAAAAGGCTAGACTGCCACAAAGCTGTCCTCTCTTTGGCCCTCTTCGTTGCTTCAAGGAGTTCTCTCAATCTCATTCTTTTCTATGCGTTTAGATCCAATTCCTAACCTCTCTTCAAATCTTAACACCTGGGCATCTAATTGCTTACTAGACATTTTCATTTCAAAACCCCAAGGGCAGCCAAAATTCAATGAGTCCAAAACCTCAGCATCATCTTCTGTTTCCTCTCTTGGTGAACGACACCAGCATTCAGCCTGGTGTCATCTGAGAGTCACCTTAGATTCCTGCCTTACTCATCACTCACATCCCATTACTAAGTTCCACTGATTTTAACTTTTGATTCTTTCCTCTCTGTCTCTGCTGCTTTAATTCAGGCTCTCACCATCTCTAATCCAGACTAATGAAATAACCTTTTAATTCATTTCCCTGCCTCCAGGCTTGCTCCATCAAAGCATCCTCCATGTTGCCAATGTGCTCTTTGTAAGCTTCAAACCTGATCATGTTGCTTTCTTGCAAGAGCTGTTTAATGTCTGGCTTCTCAGAGCCCTCAAAAAAACATCATCAGCATCTAAACTCCTTATTAATAGTACATCTGGTCCTCCATACTCTGCTCCCTCCTCAGCTGCTTTTCTCACTTTCATTTTTCACCATATCGTCCCACACCCTGGCAATTCTGAAATATACGTGGTTCCCCCAAAGCAGCATGCTTTCTGACACTTTTGCTTCTGCTGCTCACTCTTCCTAGTTCCCTTTCTTTCTCTATCTGAGGGGACTTACTCCCTCCTCAGGACTCAGTTCAAGTCTGTGAAGATTTTCATTCATATTAGTCCAGGAAAATTATGGTAAATGATGATAAAAAGTTAAACGTTTTCCCAAACAGATTTATAGTCAGGGAGAAAAGAAGTATTACCAATAAATGTTCGCAGACAGCGCCTGTCTCCATAAACTTCCCATAGCTGGGGGGAAAAAACAATACAAACAAATATTAAATTTAATACTAGACTGATAAAACGACAATTTTCAATCAGTAACAACAGTCATATGCTGGCTATATGTGTGCATATCTGTGTGTGTGTACAGGGGATTTAACCAAAGGCATTATATATCATTAAATTCATTGCTTGGTGCTTCCAGTCTGTGTTGCATTGTTTGGACTCATGGACTCACACTCACACACACATACATTTTAAAACTAAACTCTGAAATCAGATACTGAAAGACACATCAAAATATCACCAGAAATTAGGTGGAGCTGATGCAGGTGATTTTTGTTTTCTTCTTGTTCTTTTCTGTATTCAGCACGAGAAAAAAGTTCTACTGATGTAATACTATGAACTACTTTTAAAATAATTGTTATTAAAACTGTCATGCCTATAACATTTTGGTACTGAAAGGCTTTTTTTGAACCTTCCCGAAGTAGCAAGTATTATAGAAGCTGTATTATGAAGCTGTATTATGAAAATGATGATCCAGACTAAAAGGTAACAGGCTCATAATTCTCATCACATCTAAAGTGAATTTATGCAATAGCTTCAAAGTACCTTTATTCTTGCCTGCATCAAATGCAATTCTCAACAGTGTTGCTAGTCCTCTAAAATAGAAGGCATTTCCTGGCCACTAAGGGCCAAGAGGATAAAGTCTCAGTGTCCATAGCATAACCAGGCAAGGACCTCCCTGGTCCTTTACTTATGACTGAGTAGTCATTCTGTATTTCTCAGATTTTGGGCTCCAGCAACCATGAAACTGCAGTTTACAGTGCACACCATGCTGATTCATTCTATTCACTCTTCTCAGACATAGTCTATGCCCTACCCCTCTCCCCCTTTACCTAGTTACCTTCCTATTGAGGAATGCTTCCTCTTTGAAACCAGAACGCTTTTTATCTGATCATTAAAATCATAATGAAATTTTCATCCTAAGGGCAGAGACAGTGCCTTAATAACTTTTTATCCTCAGGCTCATACACATAACAGGTGTCTAATTAACGTTTATAGAAGTGATAGAAATTGTATTCTATGCTGTTTTAATTGGTAAAAGAGATAACTTTCATCTTAATTAACATAGTTTTTAAGAAGTAAAAGTTAAAGGAAATAAGGGTTTTTTATTTCAAACTCTTGACCTGTTATTTTAAGCTCTCAAGTACAGACAAATGCCAAAATGGTTGCTCTCATTAAAAAATAAATAAATAAATCACCCTTTATAGATATTGTAGCTCAGTTGGTTAGAGTGTCATCCTGACATGCCAACGTTGTGGATTCAATCTCTGGCCAGGGCACATATAAGAAGCAACCAATTAATCCATAAATAAGTGGAACAAAACAATTGATGTTTCTCTCTCCCTCTCCCTTCCCTCCTCTCTCTGGAATCAAGTAATAAAAACTAAAAATAACATAACAAAACAAAAACTTTCCAAGTCCCAAGAACACTACAGGGTTGATATTTTTGACCATCATAACAAACCAGACAAACAAGACACAAAAGAGATAAAAACTATTCTATTAAAGATTTTTAAAAAGACTCTCCTATACTCAAGTTGACAGGCACAGGCAACTGAGTTTTTCCTCCCACATATTCTATAGCAGAACATGGGCCTAAAATGAAGTTTTCCGAGACTATAAAAAGTGGGAGGAGCCTGGCCAAGGTGGCTCAGTGGTTGAGTGTGGACCCAGGAACTAAAAGGTCAACAGTTCAATTCCCAGTTGGGGCACAAGTGGGCTCGATCTATAGTAGGGGGCATGCAGGAGGCAGCTAATCAATGATGTTTCTCTCTCATCGATATTTCTGTCTGTCTATTCCTCTCCCCTTCTCTTTCTAAAAATCAATGCTATAACACACACACACACACACACACACACTAACACACACACACACACACACACATTAAATAAATAAATAAAATAGCACAGGGATTTTACAAAAGAATGGGAGAAGAGTCTAGGAGCATCCTGCTACTTGGTGTCTACTAGCACTGAAAACAAAAAAGATGATTCACATTATTTACTCTTCAGAAATAGGATTTCTATCTTGTATCCTTTTTACCTCATAAGGTTCTGAGGAACAAATGAACTCCGTTACATATACAAAAATCTCTATAAAAATGCATTGTTAATGATTAAGCATTTATGTGTCTAAAGCCAAAGTGATTAATTACATTCTAATCAGTTATCTAAGCTTAAAAAAGAGGCTAGCCTACTGGACCATAGAGCCATATCTGAATCAACATGTTTAGAAGCAGTTCATAAACTGCTGCATTCATAGGGCCTAAGAGAAAATAACTAGCCTCTGATTGCCTAACAAATCCAAATTTATTTATAATTAACCAAAAAGATGTAACCGAAGCACTAGTTTTGTAGCACTCCTACTCTCTTACTGAAAACTCACCTTAATTTTACAGTCCATGGAACAAGACAGCAATAAATGGCCCGAGAGAGGAAACAATCTGACAGCACTGACACCCTACGAAAATGTATTACAGTTATCAATCAGAAGCATTCTAAAATCAGCTAAAATTACACAAGGAAAGGACAGTATATTTTTAAGCAACTTAACTTACTATTTTTCTTCATTCCAAAAATTATACACTCAGAATAAGCTTCATTAGTATTCCAAGAGCAGCCCTTACTGACACTAAACTTCTAAAGATTTGTTTTTTAATCTTTAATATTGACTTCCTCACCCCAAGGAATTCTTAGTCAATCAAGTGCTAATGCCCCCACTCCTCTCCCTTCTTTGCTCTTTGCTAACAGCCATAAATTGGTACTTGGAATAGCACAGATGACAAAGGTTATCAACATTTAAAGTTTTTAAGTAACTTGTCTCTTCATTAGTTTAAATATTATCATAGTTTATAAACTAGAGAACATCTAATCTTCTGTGAAAGGTGATAAACTCAAGAGCCTAAGCAAAAGGACTGCGGCTCTGGTGCTAGTACAAGCCCATTACTCACTGACTTGGTGCCCAAGAGGAAGCAAATTGTGGCAGGAACTTGGAGGGAAAGTCCAGGGCTACCATAAGGGGACAGGACACCGAATCACAAATCCTTATGTCATGGCCAATCCAGATAACCTTGAAGACTGAGTCATCACTTGTGACAGGTGCATGTGGGTACCTCCAAAGCCTAACTTAGATTTCTCTTCAATTTGACTTCCCTGCTCTATTTTGACTTCCTTACATCTTTACCAGAAATAGTGAATATTCCACATCAATAGCTGAAACTTTATTTTGGCTTCACTATTATACAAGAAACAAAAACAACCAATTTGCTTACCTTTGTGTGTCCGGACCACACATGAATTTGTTTTTTGGGAAGATAACACTTCTCAGGTGGCACAGATGACCGCAGATTAACACCAACATCCTGAGGTATGTGAAGATAGGACCTGCCTTGATAGTCATACATTTCTTTAACTGAAATAAGAAGGCAAAGGAAAGCAATGAACAAATACAAGCCACAGCATGAAATCTATATCCTTAAAATGATAACGACCATTTTATTTATAAAGATATTATTCCATTTTAAGGTTTAGATAATAATACTCTGATGTAAGACCAAGACTAGCTAAAATTTAGCTACCTGAAATCATTGCTGTTATTTACAATTAGAGGTAGTGAGGTAGTATTTTGGAATTCCTAAATACCCAGAGAATAAGATCAATACTTGTTTTATTCAGTTACAGATTTAGTAATATATATAAAAAAGGACTTTATTCAGTATGATTACAGCGAGGTAAGGAAAAATAATACTTGGGCCATGTGAGTCACTGACAAAGAATCAGAAGCAAAGCAGGGTAAGAAAGAAGTTAAAACAAACAAAAATAATACCAGCTATCATTTTTCCCTGCTTTCCTCTCTTATGCCCTTCTAGGGTCCTTTTCTATTCTCTTTTCTACTTTCAACACAGACTTTACAATAAATTAACTTGTGGGAATTAAAAGACATAGTGTAAATAAAGCATTTGGTAGCATGCGTGGCAGAGTAAGTACTAAATAAACGTTGGCTGTTATTGTTATTGTGGCTGCAGGACCACAGTGCTAAATGAACTCCTTGGGGATAAAAACTGGAACTTGAGAAACCAAATAAGGCTTTATCAAACCTAAATATTGATATGTGATATAACATTAGAATAATCAATACTATCAGTACTAAATTATTCTTTCCAGTTTCAGATAACCACTACATACTTTAAAAAATATAACTAATTATTAATGAACCAGGTACTTTCTAGAATATTTATAATTTATTTTGGTGTATATGCATTTCCTCCCACAAATCAAAATGAGTATAAGAATCTTAATCTCCAATCTGTTCACATGAAAACAGAGTTTATTCTTTTAAAATATAATTTAGTAGCTGTGAGGAGACCTGGAGAATAGTTGATTTGTGTTAAAAACAAAAGGTTAAAATAAAATTACTGAAGCACTACTGAAGAGAGTCAACTTTATCTTAAGAAAAAACATGTTAGACCATTCAGATTTCTTATTTATCATTTAAAAAACTCATTAGCACTAAAAAAATAATCTGTGACTATCATTAATCATGCTATTTCTTATCATCTATTAGAACATAAAAAATGTTGTAATTTTGGGGGGATACAAAATATCCAATATGATTCTTAATATAATGAATGTAGCAGCTGATTCATAAGGGCAATGGATATTATATGAACAAAGAACAGAGGGAATATCTGAAATTTTATCATAAAAATGAAGAAGCATAAAAAATATATTACCATGTAAGATGGTCTTTTCCTCCCCAGGCTTCTCTTCTTCCAGTTTGCCTTTTTTCTGCCTCTTTGCTGTGATTTCATCCAATTCTTTTTGTTCTTCCTAAGGAAAATAAGGAGTCAACTTTAAAATAGATGTCCTAGGACCCTATCATGGCCAAAGGCGGCTATAAATTCTTTATAATGAGGTCCATTTTTTGCTGAATCAATAGCTTTAAGTATGTCTCCCAGGATAACAATCTCAACTCTTCAACAGATTACAAAATGATATTAAACACATAATGGGTACTAGTTAATGATTTTAAACTCATTTTATACAAAACCCATCCTGGAACACCTAAAAATAAGTTTAACATATTACGTTAATTATGCAAGTGAAAGGATAAGGCAATTAGAAAGCCTAATAGCAGACAGGAAGCTGAATTTTAGTGCACAGTGTTGTTACATAGTCATAAGAATATAAGCAATGTCAGTAGATTTGTGACACAACTTTTATGGAATGAAAATGGGGTAGTAGAAAATCTTTATCTACAATAACAAAGACGTTGACAGATGAAGTCTAAAATAAAGAAGTAGTAGCATATGTATGTTATGGAGTTATATTAATATAACAATATGCATGTTATTGGATGTGAGATACAGCTAGAATAAAAATTTCATGAGAATAGGATTTTCTTGATCCTGTCCACTGCTATATACCTCAGACCTAGAATAGTAATTGACTCATAGTGAAATTAGGAGGTGGGGAGGAAAAGGGTAGGGGTCTATTGCTTTACTTCATAGTAGAATTAAAAAAAACACACAATATAGATATGTTACTTAGTTAAAAATTTTAAATAAATAAGTAAAACCTACGTCAATTCTAAAATTATAGAAAGGCTGATTCTTTAGTTACTACCTGAATATCTAGTATCAGAAGAACAGCTACCATGGCAGCATAATAGCATTATCAAGGTGATTTTTATTAAAAATTGTTCAATATTAAATTACAATGAAACAGTATGGAAGACAGTAAGTCAGAAAAACATGTAAGTAAAACTATTCTAAAGAAAAACAAATCTTACTCTATTTTCTCAATTAAGCAAGACAAAATTTTAATGAGTCATTGGGTTCTCTGAGGAAACCTTATTTGTTAACATAGGTTTAATGGCAATATGGCAACGCCTGAACTGACAATGACAAGCATCAAAGCTTACTTCCGAAGGTTTGGCTACATCTTTTTCATCCACATATTTTGCCCATGGCCCCAGAAAACCATCAATGTTAGATGCATCATTTTCTTTGAACTTTTTCCTCTTTTCTATTTTCTTCTGACCAGTTTCAAACACAGTTAAACCTATATTTAAAAAAATAGACATCACAAATATAGACTTTTCTAAAGAAACAGCAGCATATATATAATTTTACTTTATATTATTCATGTGACCAAAAATCTATTAAAAAACACACAATAAAATCTATATAAATGTGTCGGATATACAAATATATGAATGTGTCAAGTAATACAAAAAGGGATTCAGTGTTCTGGGCAAAGAAATTTTCTAACACTGTAACATTTGCAAATTCTAATATATGTAAAAAAAGACCAGCTATGGACACAATCCTTTTAATGAATCAGAGACCTACATTAGCGGATTTTACCACTTTTTGAGAAAAACGGCAATTTAATCTTGCTATATTCTGTTTTGTTTTGTTTTTTGTTGTTTTTTTTTAAATATATTTTATTGATTTTTTACAGAGAGGAAGGGAGAGAGATAGAGAGTTAGAAACATCGATGAGAGAGAAACATCGATCAGCTGCTTCCCGCACATCTCCTACTGGGGATGTGCCCGCAACCCAGGTACATGCCCTTGACCGGAATCGAACCTGGGACCTTTCAGTCCGCAAGCCGAGGCTCTATCCACTGAGCCAAACCGGTTTCGGCTATATTCTGTTTTTTAATGAGCCTTTTATGAAAAAGGTTCCAATGAGCTGATGAGCTTTAAATTAGCATTTAGAATATGACACTTCGCTTTAGAATAACACAAAATGAATGAGCACAAATATGTATTTTAAAATACATTAAAAAACTCAACATTCAGCTCTAGCTGGTTTGGCTCAGTGGATAAAGCATCGGTCTTTGAACTGAAGGGACCTGGGTTTGATTCTGGTCAAGGGCACATGCTGGGGTTGTGGGCTTGATCCCCAGTGTTGGGACATGCAGGAGGCAGCCAATCAATGATTCTCTCTCATAATTGATGTTTCTCTCTCCCTCTCCCTCTCCCCCTCTGAAATCAATCTATAAAAATAAAAGTGTAATATGCTAATTAGACCAGACATCCTTCTGGACGACATTCCGGATATTCCGGATGAAGCTGTGGCAGTGGGGGCTGAGGCAGAGGTCGAGGCAGCCGCAGCCGCAGTGGCGGTGGGGACCAAGCCCCTTGCACAAATTTCATGCATCGGGCCTCTAGTAAAAATATATTAAAAAACAAAAACTCAACATTCAAAGCAACTCTTCAAAGATAATCTCCACAGGCAAGCACAATAACATTTTTTCTGCTATTAAAATGTAGCTTGACATTAGTGTTGAGAAATAAAATGATAAAATCAGCTATGCATTAATTATAATTTACTGAATAATTTCTACGAGGTTGGCAATGTGCCACGTACGCAGAACAACTTCCCAAAATAGGTACAACTATCTTCCCTAGTAAGTGGCAAAGATGTAAAACTGTAATAGTTCTAAACTGCAATACTATTGTCTCAACTTAAAAGAAGAATCAACAGCTAAATAAAATACTAGTTTTATTCCTATTGTCTAAAGTCAATCTGCCATACAGTAATTATAGGTATAAATAATTTCAAATAAATTACCTTGATTTTTTTCAGCTTCTTCTACAGAACCAATATATTTAGTAGTTACTTGATTATCTAATGAAGGGTCCAATGCATAACCTGAAAGGAAAAAGTAGATATTACTGACTTCATTTTTTGCCATTTGCAATTCATTTTAATTCTATACAAATATACTCATTTCACATTTTCTTCCCCAGATGTCAAAAATACTCTCCTTAACTTTGAGTACCAATCCTTCTTTCCTGAGTTTTGTTTCTATTCAGAACAATTAATCTCAGGCTGGACCATGAATGACTTCAGCAGAGTAAGAAGTATCTCATGGGATGAAGCTAGCACACTGATATTATATTATTACTAAATATCCAATTGTAGTCTTAAATTTTGGAAGAGCTTAAAATTATACATATATCAACCTGGCCTGTATGATTCAGTTGGTTGAGCATCATCCCATGCACTGGGAGGTCACCAGTTTGATGCCCAGTTGGGGCACATGCCCAGGTTTTGGGCTCAATTCCCGTGCAGAAGGTAGTCGATAGATGTTTCTATCTTTCTCTCCCTATCCCTTCCTCTCTCTGAAATCAATAAAAATATTCAGAAGTTTAGAAACTCTTTTTCTTTTTGGTAAACACATAATACATGGCTTAGTTTATCAAATTATATAAACTACTGAATAATTTAAAAATAGGGTAAGATGAACTAAATAAAATCTAGCTATTTATTTTGAAAATCCCATCTCAGTAAAGATAGTCTGCCTTCTCAGTTTTAAAATAATATATTTCTACTTTATAAATCACTATTTGCATTTCCTTGATAAGAGAAGGATATCAAATAGCATATGAATACACTCCTTCAACTAGAAACAGAGTACAAATAAAAGACTACACATAAATGTGGTCTCAGTGGCTTATAGAAACTTAAGGGGAAAAGTCTATATTAACTCAAATCAGTTATTTTCAAGTAGGGGTGTTAGTATAATAAATGTTTGGTAAGATCAGTTTTAATAATAATCTAGCATATTCAAAAAAGAGAGCTAGATCATTAATTAGTCTATGGCAGGGGTCCTCAAACTTTTTAAACAAGGGGCCAGTTCACTGTCCCTCAGACCGTTGGGAGGGCCGGACTATAGTTTAAAAAAAAAGCTATGAACAAATTCCTATGCACACTGCACATATCTTATTTTGAAGTAAAAAAAACAAAACGGGGACAAATACAATATTTGTATTTGCATGTGGCCCGCGGGCCGTAGTTTGAGGACCCCTGGTCTATGGTTTACAACCCATGTGAACTATCATGGAATTCATAATAGTAACAGACTATTTTTTAAAAAAATATATCTTTATTGATTTCAGAGAGGAAGGGAGAGTGAGAGTGAGATAGAAACATCAATGATGAGAGAGAATCCTTGATAGGCTACCTCCTACACACCCCACACTGGGGATCGAGTCCCCAACCCAGGAATGTGCTCTGACTGGGAATCGAACCATGACCTCCTGGTTCATAGGTCAATGCCCAACCACTGAGCCACACGAGCTGGGCCAGCCTATTTTTTTTTTAAGGGCACATCTTAGTGACTATAGTTAACATTTAAAATTTCCCAGCTAAAGCTTAAAAAGAACAAAGATTTGTTGCCGCGGTCCAACCCCAGCAGGTCCAGGGGTTCCCAAAGGTGTGGATGGAGTCGGCGAAGAAGGAACAACACAGAGGCAGCGTTCAGTTGATCAGCAGCCTAGCCAGGATCTCCAGCCAGGATCTCTAGCCAAGTTCTGGTCTGGATCTCCAGAGAGGTTCTGCTTAGGATCTCCAGCTAGGTTCTGTGTCCATGTTCTCTTGCTAGGTTCTCCAGGTTCTCCAGCCAGGTTCTGTAGCCATGTTCCCTCGCTAGGTTCTCCAGCCAGGTTCTGTCCAGGTTCTCCAGCCAGGTTCAGTCACCAGGTTCTAGTCAGGTTCTTTTGTCAATTTCTGTAGTCAGGTTCAGTCCAGGATCTTTTGCCATGTTCTCTCCAGCAAAGTTCTTCTGTCTGTAGGTTCTGTGTGGGTTCTGTCTTCTAAGTTCTGTGTGTAGGTTCTGTGTTCTAAGTTCTGTGTCTTGCTGTCTTGTTACATCTGTATTTATACCAGTTGATTCAATCCTATCAATCTCTATTCCAAAGGTTAGGGCGTTTCTTATCTCCATTCCAGGGAGTAAAGATTATGTAGCTTAAGCATGATTGTTCATAGTTAAAGTGATTAATTACCCTCCTGGCACTTAGTTAAGAGGTTTTATTCCCTCCCTAACTTCAGGGGAAAATCCCTACCTGGGGAAACAACCTTTCTCAGAGACCTTGGTTAAAACACATAGTGCCAAGAAGGTGAGCAAACATATTAAGAACAGTATGCCATATATGCCAGGTCCCTTGAAACAGCAAGCATGGACCGGCTCCCGGCAAATTCCCCCTTTTTTATTTTTTAAAAGGAGGCATTAAAAAGAAAAACCCCAAATGCTCTCTTGTATCCATTTTAAGAGTAGGATTGGCGCTTTCCGCTATTACCTGAGTCCTGATCTATCACCCCAGGGAGAACTTGCCAATCCTGCACTTTCCCGTGGTGGAAAGGCTGCAGTGGGGTTAAGGATAAGGCTTTTTGGGCCTACCTTCTCCCATGCCTCTACATTTACCTTTCCGGCACCTTTCCTTCCTCAGAAAAGCATGGACGTATTTCTTATATAAAATGTTCCATCTGACTGGGAGTAACCTTAACTCCTCTGCTAGCAAGCATGTGTGTTAAAAGATCAATACAGAGTCTTATTTCTTTAGACTCAGTATGGCACATCTTCTTAATCTAAAGATCAATACAGAGTCTTCTTTCTTTGGACTCAGTATGGCACATCTTCTCAATCTAAGTTCTGTATTATCCACCTTCTTACCCGACTTATCCTCTATAGGGGGGTCTGAAGTACCCTGGTGGAGTCCTATCCGTCCCGAATGTGGGGGTTCTCAATGGGGGTGGCTTACCTAGGGGAATCCTGTTCCAGGGGTTCCCAAAGGTGAGGACGGAGTCGGCGAAGACTATCCACCCTCTTCCTACGGTGGAGTCCTATCCATCCCGAGAGTGGGGCTTACCTAGGGGTCCCTGTTCGGGCGCCAGATGCTGGGGTCCAGCCCCAGTGGGTCCAGGGGTCCCCAAAGGTGTGGACGGAGTCGGCGAAGAAGGAAGGACACGGAGACAGCGTTCAGTTGATCAGCAGCCTAGCCAGGATCTCTAGCCAGGATCTCCAGCCAAGTTCTGGTCTGGATCTCCAGCGAAGTTCTGGCTAGGATCTCCAGCCAGGTTCTGTGTCCATGTTCTCTTGCTAGGTTCTCCAGGTTCTCCAGCCAGGTTCTGTAGCCATGTTCCCTCGCTAGGTTCTCCAGCCAGGTTCAGTCACCAGGTTCTAGTCAGGTTCTCTTGCCAATTTCTGTAGTCAGGTTCAGTCCAGGATCTTTTGCCATGTTCTCTCGCTAGGTTCTGTCTCTAGGTTCTGAGGCCAGTTTCTGTCCAGGATCTTTTGCCATGTTCTCTCCAGCGAAGTTCTTCTGTCTCTGGAGAACGTTCTGTGTAGGTTCTGTGCCTAGGTTCTGTCTCTCTTGGTTCTGTCTTCTGAGTTCTGTGTCTTGCTGTCTTATTACATCTGTATTTATACCAGCTGATTCAATCCTATCAATCTCTATTACAAAGGTTAGGGCGTTTCTTATCTCCATTCCAGGGAGTAAAGATTATGTAGCTTAAGCATGATTGTTCATAGTTAAAGTGATTAATTACCCTCCTGGCACTTAGTTAAGAGGTTTTATTCCCTCCCTAACTTCAGGGGAAAATCCCTACCTGGGGAAACAACCTTTCTCAGAGACCTTGGTTAAAACACATAGTGCCAAGAAGGTGAGCAAACATATTAAGAACAGTATGCCATATATGCCAGGTCCCTTGAAACAGCAAGCATGGACCGGCTCCCGGCAATTTGTTATCAAACATACTTTTCAAACAAGCTAAGGATATAAGTGCCCACCTCACCCTCATGATATGCTTAGTATAGAACCAACCACCTGGCTATTAGCTAATTTGCGTATTTTTTTCAGTATTTAAAATTTGTTCTTATCTGGAGGAGAGAGCTTGATGGCAAAAAAGCAGCTACAGAATAGAATCTGTGAAAGCACAGGTTCAAATTACATGAGTTACTTTATCTTTCATCTCTCATGTACAGAATAGTGTTCTGTAAATGATGTATTTTTAAAAATGAGACTAGATAAGGCTTATATAAAATTTAAACAACATACCCTAAATTTAAAAATCCCCATCTCAATCATAAAAACGTATTTAGAGTGTCTTGAAGGAAATTTATGTCTTTAAATGGCACTGCGCTAAGTTTGCAGGGATGAAGTAGGAGGCAGAGGGAAAGGCAATCCCTGGTCCTTCCTGTGTTAGCTGTGTAAATACCAATCCCCAACTCTGGCCATAGTCTTGTTTCTGAGAAAAGGAACTTACACTCTCCTCCTTTTCCATCCTTTGTGGTAAAATCTTTATAGCTACCATCACCATTACCACTACTGCCTCCCACCCTGGGTAATTAGGAGATAAAAGTATTTTCCTTTACAAATAAGACAAGTTAAATATTTAGCTATATGTCTTACTAGAAGTCAGCTAGTGACAGAATAAGATATAACTCTAACACTAAAGAATTTCAGTCCAATTCGTTTTTTATTATTCTATGTCTCAAATAAATGAATATATTTGCATTTTATTTCTGAAATATTCTCATCTATCTTTCTGAAGCTTATTTTCCATTTTATCTTTTTAATGGAGTTAACATCTACTTTTTTCATTTGTAGTCTTATTTGAAATGGCTATCAATTTTATTATTTATCCTAAAGTAATTAACTCCAATATCTGAATAGGTAAATGAGGATAGACTATAAACAATTTGCAAAAGAATGGTTACAAATACAAATACTAAAAGATAGTGAGGGTTCAGTTCCAGACAATAATGGGATATTTTAATAAAATGAGTCATAATCTTTATGCCTGTGTAGGGTCTTGTCTTTAATTTGTAAAAAAATACAACATCTGTGAAGCGCAATAAAATGAGGTATGTCCTTATATGGAAAAACCTTCAACCTTACTAGTAGTCCCAAAGAATAAATTAACAAAGAGATATAATACTTTATTTAACAAATAAAGAAAAACAATCATATGGATCTTGGGTAAGGAGAAATAGGACTTCCGTGCATGGTGGTGGCCCTATAAGGTGGGAGAATGCTTTTGAAAAGCACTTTGACAATATAAAACAAAAGCTTTAAAAACATTTATATTCTTAGACCTACTTCTGAGAGCTCTTTTTAGAAAATAATGAAGCCCAGATGGCATGGCTCTGTTTGAGCATCAACCTATGAACCAGGTGGTCATGGTTCGATTCCCAGTCAGGGCACATGCCCAGATTGCAGCTCGATCCCCACTGTGGGGCATGCAGGAGGCAGCGATCAATGATTCTTTCTCATCACTGATGTTTCTATCGCACTCTCCCTCTTCCTTCCTCTCTGAAATCAATAATAAAAATATACTAAAAAAAAAAATGAGAAAAAGTCGAAGTTTTATGGACAAAGATATTCTCCATCATATTAAAAAAAAGAATTTATCAAACATACTTTTCAAACTTTAAAAAAGCATTTTACTGCAATTCAACATATACATTACCACATTTTTTTGTTGTTAAATCCTCACCCAAGGATATTTTTCCACTGATTTTTAGGGAGAGTGGAAGAGAGAGGGAAATACAGAGAGAAATATCGATGTGTGAGAAACACATCAATTGGTTGCCTCCTCTACTAGCCCTGACCAGGGCCCAGCCGGTGAGGAAGCTGCACCCAGGGTACATACGGGCCCTTAACCAGAACTGACCCCAAGACCTTTTGGTCTGCAGGTTGATGCTCTATCCACTAAGCCAAACCGGCTAGGCTCATTACCACATGTTTAACAGTGAAAACTGGGACAAACTTGAAATCTAAATGATACAAGAAATTTTTATATAAATGATATCTTCATTCAGTAGAGTATTTTAAAAAAATCATTTAAAAAGGTTAATAAAGAATTTCTGATACTGAAGTGAAAACTAAGTTATTAATAATGTGGTGAAACTAAAGGTGTTTAAATTCTATTCTCCACTTCCACAGACTGGTGTAGAGAAAATTCTGGGTGAACGTAGAAGAAAGGGAAGAGACCTCATTGAGAAGCCCCCCAGCAAGGGAGCAGACCAAGAACCCAAGAAGAAAAGGGAGGAAAACATGACGAAAGAATCACACAAACCATTGACAGTCTAAAAAGTCAGGATAAATACCATAAATGGGAGCCAAAAGCAAAACTGTAGAACAAGTGTACGGGATGATACAGCAAATGAGATTATCTGCACTGATAAGGACTCTACAGGTGGGTTCTGTGACAAACTAAATGTACTGTACAGCACCAATCTTCCAGGAATAATACACTTAGATTATAACATTGCTAGGACTATTCAAAAATGGGGGGAAAAAGTATATTTGTTTTATACTCCAGCTGAGTTATAGAATGATAAATATAAGACTTAGGTAAAACTGAATTTAAGTGCAATCTCCTTTATGTCTTGTAGACAACACCAATTCAAGATAGAAGGTTTGCGCCTTGGTACTTTGCAAATGAAAGTTCTCAATCTTATAAGAGCAAGAGAACACTTTCTCTCACTACCTGAAAGGAATCACTACCTGAAGTTAGACAAGAACTTTCTTGAGAAAATTACATGACTTTTAAGTTAATAGAAACTATATTTGCTTAATACTTGGGATTAAAAAAAAAAAGAGAGAGGGAGAGACTGCTAAACCTGAAATTGATTAACTAGTTTATTAAGGTCAAACAAACTGCTCTCAGTTCTAAGATTATCATCAAAGGAGACAAATGATAACGTTGCTTTGCAACGGGTCACTCCCTTTATAATAGGTGCCTAATATAGGAAAGCTACATTCACTTTTTGTCTTAAACTCACTAAATAGTTCAACCTGTGTCCTAGACCAGCCCCTCCTAATGGGAGAGGCAAAAAACACCAGCTATTTAAAAAAAAAAAAGTAAGCCTGGCCTGTGGCTAAATGGTTGAACTTTGACCTATGAACTAAGAGCTCATGATTCAGTTCCTGCTCAGGGCACATACTCAGGTTGCCTGCTCCATCCTCAGTGGGGGGCGTGCAGGAGGCAGCCGATCAATGAATTCTCTCTCATCATTGATGTTTCTATGTCTCTCTCCCTCCCCTTCCTCTCTGAAATCAATGAAAATATATTATTTTTTAAAAAGTAAGGCTATTTCTAAATCCAGGTCTAAAGCCAATTCAATAATTTTAAATGGTTACTCTTTTTCTACAGGATAATTTAAGGAAGAAAGTAGTAATTAAAATATTAATTACTTTTTTCTTGTTTTGTTTTAAAGAAGTCTTAAGGTATCTAAATGTATTGCTTAAGGACCTTCTAAAGTGTAAGAAAATATTTAACTCTATTTTATTATAGGCTAAAATATAATAAATTCATGATGCAATAGAGTTGATTTTTGTGTGCTACATATGTACTTACATGGATCCCTTATACAAGCAATGAGTACAATGTATTTATACCTATTTTTTTGGACTGGAAGTTTTCTAGGTGATTTTAGAGGTATACAGTTAAGACAATTATAACCTCACCATGCTGAAATATTTTATAAATGACAATCTTTTTTACAACTAGTTTCTATGACTACATTGTGATAAATAATTAAGACCATTTGTACTAAACTTCTCAACTAAATTTACAGTGAATGTTTGCATTACTAAATATTTAAAAAGTAACTTTCTAACATTAAAACATAATGTAAATTATGATACAATCAATGGATTATTACATAGCTCTTAAAAGGGATAAGCTTTGAGATTATAAAATAACACTGAAAATGCTTATAATAAAATATTGAATAAAAAAGTGAGATGCAAAATTTTCAGTTTAGAAAGATAACAGCTCTGTAATACAAACATAAACATGAAAAAAGACTTGGAGGGATAATATCACAATGCTGAAAGTAGGTATTTTAGTACTAGAGGCCCGGTGCACGAATTTGTGCACAGGTGAGGTCCTTTGGCCTGGCCAGCGATCGAGGCATATGGGGGGTGGGGGGGGGGTAGCTGGCAGAGGGCAGGCACCACAGGTGGTTGGCCGTCTGGTTGGGGGGCTGGCCAGCTAGGGGGAGGGACCACGGGAGGTTGGTCGGCCAGGGGGAGGGGCCATGGCAGGTTGGCTGGCTGGTGGGGGGGAGTGAGGAGCCACAGGAGGTTGGCTGTGGGAGCGCACTGACCACCAGGGGGCAGCTCCTGTGTTAAGCGTCTGCTCCCTGGTGGTCAGTGCGCGTCATAGCACTGGTCGACCAGTCATTTGGTTGTAATGGTCGCTTAGGCTTTTATATACAGTAGGTCCTCGGGTTATGTCAGAGAGAGATCCATTCCTACGGCATGATGTAATGCAATTTTCGCCATAAGTCAGAACCCACCTACATAAGCACCTACATCACTCACACGGAGCACATACACAGCAGAAATGAAGTGAAACAGTAAAAAATAATTGAAAGAAAGGTAACAATTCCTGACCTAACAATTCCTGACCTTTACTTGTGGTAAATAAATAATAAAAAACATAAAACACATATGTACATACATCAAAATGACGGAACTTTTTTTTAAATAAATAAATGGGAGATGGCGACATAACCACGAAACGACGTACATCGAGTCTGGCGTAACCCGAGGACTGCCTGTATATAGATAGTGAGATTATAAGTATATTTTTTTTCTTCTCTCTTAAATGTCTAAAATTTGTTTGTATTACTTTTTAATGATAGTAACTGTTATTATATAGTATCACTGGAAACATTACATTGTTCCTTAACTTTTTTTGGTCCTGTCTTATAATAATGGAAGTTAATGGTACATAGGACAGAAAAATTTGTTAGAACTTTAAAAAAAATTCTATTGTATTAAATGAAAGGAGTTATCAGGATTCTAACTGGAAAAAAAACCCCAACTTTTTAAAAAAGAGACGATATTGCTGATATTTAAGATGTGATTATTAGCCCTAGCCAGGTAGCTCAGTTGGCTGGAACACTATTCTGATGCACCAAGGTTGCAGGTTTGGTACCTAGATCAGGGTACAAACAAGAATCAACCAATGAATGCATAAATAAGCGGAACAACAAATCAATGTTTCTCTTTCTCTCAAAAAAATCAATTTAAAAAAGTGATCATTAAATCTGTTGTTAAAAAAATTCAGTTTTCTTTTTCAATTACTTTTTTGAGAAAGAAACATCAGCATAAGTAGTTTATTCATAAATAAGATCACAACTACAACAGGCATAAACATTCTCATGTACTTTGCTCACCCACCCCTGTTAAAAAGATCTGGAAAGCAGCACCAGTGTGTCTGTCACACTACAGATGTGGATTATAGGAAGAAAAATGAAAGGCACCACCCAATAAGGACAAATCTGAGGATGTGACCAGAACCTATGATTTGTGGAACTCTCAATAAGGACTTAAAAAACCATCCTCTTTTTGAGAGGATTCTCAGCCTTGTGTATGCACGTGAACTTTTTAAAATCTTGCCACTGATAAGATGTAATTATTTTGTACAATAAATTTGTGGCCATTCTATTTCTGATGCCCTCAGTGATCAATAGAAAACTTTTCAGTGATAAGCTCTGTATATAAAATAAAAATGTAATCTCTTAATCTATCCTGTCATTTACTGACTCAACAGAGAACATTCTGTTTTTAAGACATTTAGTACTCAGAATTCATAGCAGATTTAGAATGACAGTTAAAAATATTAATTTACCTTCCCATTTGTATATTTATTGATGTGTATAAGAAAACACAATACCCTTTTTGAGGGAATCCAGGTTAATAAATTTAAAAAGCTAGAAGATAAAACAGATTCTCTCTCTCACACACACACACAAAGACACACACAAAGACACACACACACACACACCACTTCTAATAAAGTCAAACTTGAAACTCTAAGTCTTAGCACCTTACCATATGTGGCAAAAGTTCTTCTTTGCTGTTCAAACATAAAATCATTGATATGAGCTGGTTCAGCATACCCAGAAAGCATATTTCTGGGGGCAGCCATTTGCTGTGTCCTAAAGGGATTTTCTGGTCCAAACTGTAGCGTTATTAAAAAAAAAGAAAAAGAAAAATAACTTAAATTCTGAGTGTATAAACTAGAATTACTAGAATAACACACAAGAATAATATATGTTCAACTCTAAATCATCAGGGGCTGGTGAACCTGTTTGGGAGCACGCTCGCCTCATGTTGCTCAGTGCAACTAGAAGGTGGCCGATTAGGACTGTGTTAATCTTAGGACAGAAGGAGAGAAACTAGCTCACCCAATTCTACAAATGCCTATTTAAATTGAAATGAACTTCAGTATTCAGCTCCTCAGTCACACTAGGCACGTTTCAAGAGCTCAACAGCCTCTTATGGTTATTGAGTACTACATTTCCATTATGACAGAGTTCTACTTGACAGTGTTTCTCTAGATAAGTGACACTATTGTTTTGTTTAAACCATGATGTGGAGAACTTGATGGGGGGGGGGGGGGGAGACTTTTATACCAATAATGGCACCATGAAGTAATTTTAAAAATACATGTTTCTCCTCTACTAGATTATAAGTTCCTCAAAGGTAGAAACTAGAATCCTTAAAACTTACCCTAGTTCCTGGGAAGTAGAAAGCACTAATAAAGGAAAGATTAATCAAAATCCCATGGGGACAGAAGACAGTAAAATAAACAATAAAAGTAAAGTGCTTAAAAAAATTTCTCCATTCTAAAAAGTCACACTATGAAAGCCTTACATAAAATAGTACCATTATTTGTTTATAATGCTTTGAGTTTCCAGAATGGCTTTCCAAATGTTATTTAATTTGTACAAAAATCCTGGAAAGTTAGAGAAGTATTTTCTTTCTCATGTTAGAAATGAAGAAAGAGGCCAAGATGATGAATTTTACCTGATTTAGAGTCAATAGTTTTATTCATTAGTAATACCAAGGTTAGGATAAATCCCAATCTAGCATTCTATTACATAAACTATTCCTTAAATATACAATCATAGCCTCTAACTTGTAAAAAATGCTATTATAAAGTACTGGGAGAATACCTTTCCTCATTTTGTTTTAGATAAAGAATAAAATAAACTTACCACTTGGGAAATAATGGAATTGCATGTAATATTTTTATTTGAATTCTGAAAAGTCTACTGTCAAGATGAAATATTTTGACATTAGAACATCTTAGGTCACTGGCATTAGAAACCACTTTTCTATGATGTATAACCAGAGCCACATAAATTATTCATAGTCTCTTAACCAGAATGTTGCCTTCTTTAAATATCAACATTATATTATGCACGAAAATCTAAATTTAAAGGATGTTAGGTTTGCCTTACAATTTTTCTGCTTAAGGAAAATTACAATATTCTTCTTTATCGACAGCTTCCATTTCTATGTTTAAAATAATTCAATCTTAAAATACCTGTTTTCTATATAAAGCTTTTATTACTATTTATTCTAAATTATAATAAAGGAGAGTACAAGGCTTTGTAGGCCATATTAGTTCTTCCTGTGTTGCTAGGTAAAAACAACAACAACAAAAAAAACACCTAAACTGCTGAATGCTGAAATTTTCAGTTAACTTCATTCAGTCGTGAAATTTATTTCAAAACAAGAAATATCCATAAAGTTAAAGATAATAAAATGAAAAGTTTCCTAGATGCTCTACTTGCTACAGTCAGCTACATCTGCATAGCAGCATGTGATTATTATTTCTAAAACGATAAAAATCCCCATTGCTCTTACTGTTAATTCCTTTCATATACAATAAATTATCAATCATGCTTATAATTTCCAATTTAAAAAAGGAAAATATAATTTCCATAGTCTTATTTTATTAAGATCTTACAAAAAGAGAGTAATTCTTCTATAGGCCACACATATCAAACCAAATTTTAAAGAAAAATTCTCAGCATTAAAGAACTTTGATTTTTATACAAATACAGATCCATATATTACAGATAAGTGTATTTTATATGAGGTGCTATCCTTAACATCAGTCTAAAAATTTAAATATGCTTGTCTTATAGATATTTAATCTGAGACAACAAAAAATTTAATGATATAGGAAGCTGTGTGGGGGACATTCCATCTATACCTGGCTCTCACCTTAACTGCCTGGTTACTGGCAACTATTGGAGCTGAGCTCACAGACATTAAATGTCAACAAAGGCAACCCTGGTCAGGTGGCTCAGTTGGGTGGAGTATGGTCCATACACCAAAAGGTTGCAGGATCAATTCCTGATCAAGGCACATACCTAGGTTGTGGGTTAAATTCCCAGTCGGGGTGTGTACGGGCACCAACAGATCAATGTTTCTCTCTCTCTCTCTGTCTCTCTCTCTCTTCCTCTCTCTAAAATCAATAAACATATCCTCAGGTGAGGATTTAAAAATTATTAAATGTCAAACAAAGGCAGAGAACATTACTTAGTAAGACTCAGCTCTCCTAACTACTCAAAATATGTCTCCCAGATGTTGCTGGTCTCTGTGAATATGATGTCTTTAATTCTGGGTTAACCATTAAAAAACAAAACAAAGCATATTAAAAAATGCACATCATTGATTCCCAAATACTTCTTTTCAACTTTTGGTAGTTAAGTTTAAGTGTAAATCATTTGTAATTCAAGTAATTTTAAAAAACTGACTGGTCTTTGAAATCATAAGTTTACATATAGAAAAAAATCCAAGTTATTAATTAATAATCACAGATTGTTGGTTAAGTTCTTTATTAATATTTATTGCAATCATCAATGTTTAAAACATTCATAAACAAATCTTAAGGTGAGAAGAATCTGTTGATTAACTTAAAATTATTTTCTACAAATTTGGAAAATATCAGCAAAATTCAATTTTATTGGCAGAATACCTCAATCTTGTAAGATATAAGTAGAGCTTAAATATCATTAATGTAAGAATATTTTATTAGGGCTGATTCTATGACCTAGGGCCTCGGTTTCCTCGTCTATAAAATAAAAGAGCTAAGCCACATGATTTTTAAAGTTCATTTTAACATTAATATTTATAGCAGCCCATACAGTCAAATTTTTAAGATTAACTGGCTTTTTTCCCCTCTAACTTTTATATTTTTTTCCTATTCCTAAATATACTATTATTTTAAGTCTGAAAATCTCCCTGAAGCTTGTGGGTTTTATGAGTCCAGGGAAGCCAACAAATACACTTTTCTCTAAGTAGATACAAAAAGGATTGTGTGAAATGGAGAAAATGACTAGATTAAAACAATGGCTACAATCTTCAAGTTCTATCTATAAATTTGAGAAAGCTTATCTGGATAACTAAGTAGACCATTCAGGAAAAGTACTTGGTTAGGAGGGGTAAACAATATTTGATAAAACAAAATAGCCAGTTCAGTTAGTTTGCTGAACTAGCAAAGTCAAAGACATAGGTGTATACCCTGCAAACCTTACATGGCCTTCAAAATGCTCTTCCAGTTACAGAGTGATTTGTTAAGAGTGATCTGGACTCAAATCCTCAAGTCTGTCACTTGCTGGCAGTATAATCCGAGACTTGGTTTCCTTGCTATAAAATAGGGATAAGAGTACTTATTTCATAGGGTTGTAGTGAAGACTAAAGGAGATAGGTATATAAGTATATATGCCCCTCAGTATGGTAGCTGGCATGGTTGACCCAGTTTTAAAAATGGTAGTTTTATTTCATTAATTTCTATCCCAGTTCTTCCATCATGCAAATTCTTACCAAATTCACCTTCCTATAAATTCAGCTTTAATTATGCCACTCCCCCACTAAAGAACCTTAGAAATCTATTTACCATTAATTAAATAAAGACCACTTTGGTCTTTAGAGCATTGTGCAATATTATTTTACAAAGTATCATTCTAGTCCAGCGGTTCTCAACCTGTGGGTCGCGACCCCTTTGGGGGGTCGAACGACCCTTTCACAGGGGTCGCCTAAGACCATCGGAAAACACATATATAATTACATATTGTTTTTGTGATTAATCACTATGCTTTAATTATGTTCAATGTGTAACAATGAAAATACATCCTGCATATCAGATACAGTGGGGCCCTGACTTACGAGTGTCCTGACTAACGAGTTTTTCGAGATACGAGCCTCCTCTCGGCTGATTTTTTGCTTTGAGTTGTGAGCTAAAATTCGGGTTACGAGCCAGCAGATAACCCACCGCTAGTTGGCGCAGCAAACGTCACAGTGAACGCCACAACATCAGCCCAGCATCACGTGTCTCACTCGTTCACTTTAAGATTTGACATACGAGTAATTTGAGTTACGAGCTCCGTCATGGAACGAATTAAACTCGTAAGTCAAGGCCCCACTGTATTTACATTATGATTCATAACAGTAGCAAAATTACAGTTATGAAGTAGCAACAAGAATAATTTTATGGTTGGGGGTCACCACAACATGAGGAACTGTATTAAAGGGTCGCAGAATTAGGAAGGTTGAGAACCACTGTTCTAGTTTAACCTCCCCTTTCTCCCCTACTAATAATGACTAAAGCATTCTTGTTATTTTATTTTCAAAGATTTAGTCAATTATTATAATTCTCACCCAAGGATATGTTTTTATTGATTTTTTGAGAGAAGGAAGGGCGGGGGGAGAGACAGAGAAAGAGGGAGGGAAGGGAAGAGGAAGAGAGAGAATGATCTAAGAGAGAAAAGCATCGAACAGTTGCCTCCAGTAACTGGGGATTGAACTGGCAACCTGAGTATGTGTTCTGACCGAGAATAGAACCCACAACCTTTTGATGTATGGGACTATGCTCCAACCAACTGAGCCATAGGCTAGGGCAGCATTCTTTTTCTTTAGATCTTCAATGATTTAGCTCATGTTTTTCCCTTCTGCCTGGAATATTTCCTCATAAAAGCCTTCCTAGTCATCAATGCCAATAATAGTAATATAAGTAACAATAAATGCTACCATTTATTAAATGCTTACTCTGTGCCAGAACATTTCCTAAGTACATCATACATTATCTCATTTATCCATATAACTCAGTAAAGTAAAAATTATCTTCATTTTACCTAATGAGAAAACTAAGATAATCCAAGGTCACACAAGACCTAAAAAGCAGTCTAACTCCAAATCTCATGTTCTTAACCTGGATTGCTTACTTTAAATACTATTTTTCCCATGGAACTTTTTCTTATCTTTATAACCAGATGTAATCTCTCCTTAAACCTGAATAGTACTTTCGAGGCACTATAGGAAACAATCTGGTCTCTATCTTTAAAAAAAATACACTTAGCATATCTTCTTGGTAAAACTAGCTTGAGGAGAGGGTTACATTTTGTTTCTAGCAAAGGCTCCTCAAATAGGAGAACTTGAATTTCATCTAGCAAAGTTCCTGGTAATACCTTTCCAGACTTTGCCAAGTTATATAGATCCTAGTCATAAAATTCAAAGTTAATAATCTGTTATATCACAGACAATTCATTTGGCAACCGGGAAATATTGTAATTTTTCTTCACTTTTCAGTCTTACTCTTTTCTTAAATTGCTGACAAGCACTGTAGTGTTTCTACCACAAACTAATTTATATATGTACTAGTGTATCAACATAGGAATGTCATATCCTACATTACTTCCAAATTTTCTCATTTTCTGAATTCAGTGATCCTATTTTATTGAAGTACTTTCATTTAAAAACTCATGAAGCATATCTATTCTCTCTCTCTCTCTCTCTCTCTCTATATATATATATATATATATACACACACACATATATATATATATATGCCTAAGCAACTGTCCGACCGGTAGCTATGACATGCAATGACCACCAGGGGGCAGACGCTCAACACTGGAGCTGCCGAGCTGCCATGACTTGACAGCTGTGGTTCTCGGAGGATGCACCCAGAACCAGAAAGGAGGGAGTCTGATTCCAGGATGCATCACCCAAGTGCCGCCCACTCGCAATCCAGGACCCCTCAGGGGATGTCAGAGAGCCAGTTTCGGCCTGATTCCTACAGGCCAGATGGAGGAACTCCACTGGTGCACTAATCCTTGCACCGGGCCTCTAGTATGTAATATACAACCTCTCTTCAATGTGATGGCTAAAATGTTGCTAAGGAATATGGGACAGCCTATAGTTCAACAGGCTGGAAGGATTTAAAAAATAATGGAATAAAATTTAAAATGTGCTATAGTTTCGGAGTGTGAGAATGAGATTTTTGCTTTGTGTATACCCAGAGAACTAGAGCATTGTCTAAATACTGGCATTGACATCATTAGCTGTGCTAATATTTCAATCACCATATTTTGAGTGACTACAGAAACCTACACAGGCAAATTATGTGGAATAGATTTATGACTCGGCTTTATAAAAACAAACACCAAAAAATAAAACACCAATGACTATACACTAAAAAAATGAAAAATATTAGAAAGTACCTCTTCGCTACCTACCAAGATACAGTAAGATTTAGCTTTTTAAAGTGCTTCTTAAAGGCCCTAATAAACCTTTTCTTGTGTGTTTTATAATTACCATTTTATGGCATCTCTATTTTGTCAATCAAGCATTCTTTTTCCTTTTTTAAAGGCAAAATATCTAGAAATTTGATCTTTTCTACAAATGTTCCTAAATGAAAAATTTCACTCTTTTCTTCCTCCCTCACCTTCTTTAAGGCTTTCATCACCATTTATCATCATTATATAGAAAAAAGAATCCATAAGATGTCTTACTCAGAGCAGGCAATAAACACTGTGACTACTTTTGAGCCGTGACCACATCAGTATAATACCTCTTTTAATATTCAGCACAGCAATGTTTGTAACCAGATGTTTCATAATATACTATGCAGTGATGATGTTAAGAAACCAAATTCTTTTCCCCTTAAGGTTAATTTGTAATACTCTCTCATCAATACTGAGAGGAAGATGTTAACTAAATTTATATCTAAGAATCAGATATTCTGAGATTTCCTTTTTTCAAAAGACGTAGCTCCACACTACCAGATAGGTGTATGTTGGTAGATAAAAATCCTTAGTGGATTTTTAAAAAGTATTCTCACAAAAGCAAATACACAATTCAAAGTTTTCGAGAATAGAAAGGTATATTTTATTTTCTTTTAAAATTGAGATATAGTTTATATATAACAGGATATATTTTCTAAAAAGCTTAAATAATATATTTTTGTGAGAAAACTTTGAAAAATTCACTGACTGTTTATCTACCTATGTATAATTTAAATAGTTTAGCAAAATGTAGAATCTTACATATAGTATGTTTTCTCACCTCAGGAGCAAACATGGTCTCATAGGTAGGATTATACTGTACTTCCTTGACAGCAGGGTCAAGGTGAACTCCGGTCTCCAAATCTTCCTGAAAGAAAACCAAATGAACATTAAAGATCTGACAAGTAATTGTTTTATTTTAAAACTACATTAAGGTCTCACTAGCCATTTTAACACCAATTTAATGATTATTATGTCAGTGCCATATAATTAATAATTCTAATCAAAGACTAATAAAAGTAATATATGCAGGTATAAAGGTTAAAGTGCGTAACAAAATTTTTTTTCCTTAAAAAATACTGACTTTATCCCATCTGAATAAAAAATTTCTAAATAAGTTAACAGTACTCAAAGCCTTAAATTAAGAATCTAACTCCTCTTTTTTATTAACTCAAAAAGACCTAATCTTCCAGTTCCAAATTCAGGAGAAGCGCTCCTTATTCAGCAATCTTTATTAAATATATACCCAGATGGCATTGCTTAGGGGCTAATTAAAGAAAAGGAAGTGACAGGACTTAAATCTGAACCTTGTCTTATAATCTACTAGAGGCCTGGTGCATGAAATTCATGCTCTGGAGGGGGGACCCTCAGCCCGGCCTGCCCCTCTCACAGTCCAGGAGCCCTCAGGGGCGGGAGGCGACCCGGCCATTAGGGGAAGGCCCTGGGACCGAGGAGACTGAGGGACTCGCAGAGGCAGGAGCATGAGGCAGGCCCGGCCTTGTCGCATGCCTGCTGCCCCAGCGGGGCTGAGGGGGCTGGGCGCCGCCATCTTTGAGGGCGTGGCAGTAATTAGCATATTCCCTACTTATTGGCTGTGGGTGCCGCCATCTTTGCGACGGTGAGGGTCAATTAGCATATTTCCTCTTTATTAAATAGGATGTTAATGTTTCAACCTTCTTAAATTCATCCTCCAGTTTAGTGAACATAAGAATCTCATCTCCACTACAGATTACTGATAGTCTCTCTTTTGTGTAACCCCACCTCTTACAAATATAACAATTCTCAAATTGCTATCTTAAGTCTGGACCTCTCCCCTGAATTTTAGAGACTTGTGTATTTAACCTTCAATTCGAAATCTTTTCTCCATCTCACACTTAATATGTCCAAAAGGGAAGAACTTCTGGTCTCCCTTTCCCCCAGGACACCTTCCAACCTTCTCTAAGTTAGTTGCAATTCCATCCCTACATCTGCTCATGCAAAAATTCCTGGAATTATCCGTGACTCCTCTTTCTTTCACATCATCTAGTACTATATCCAATCCATCAGCAACTCCTCTACCTTCTGTATACATCCAGAATTCAACCACTTTTTAAGTCCTCTTTCACTCTCACCTCAGTCCAATTTATGATCTCACACCTGGATTAATTTAATAGTCCCTTGCCCGCCAACAGCCTCACTTCATAAGGAGTCAGTGATTATTTTAAAATAGTCACCAGATTATGTTACTCCTTTGCTCTAAACCAGCCGTGGGCAAACTACGGCCCGCGGGCCGCATCCAGCCCCTTCGGCTGTTCTATCCGGCCCGCGGAGCCGAAAGAACGGAGGGTTCTCTTGCTCTCCCCTCCGCTCCTTCACCAGCAGCAGTGTTAACATGGCAACGTCGGGAAACACGGCTGCAGCTCCTTCTTCTGAGTCCAGTTTAAGAACCCATTGTGGCCCTCGAGTCAAAAAGTTTGCCCACCTCTGCTCTAAACCCTCCAGTACCTTCCGCACTCAATGAAGTTTTATTTTGAAAATTTTAAGGAAGTTACATATAATTTGTGAATTATATTTCAGGAAAGCTGGAATTTCAAAATGCTATTATAAGATGAGACATTTGAATTTACCCTCCATGATCTGTCCCTCCCTCTCCCTTCCACTCCAAATTGTCTCCATCTAGCTCCTGCCTATGCCCACTTCACTACAGCCTCATGGGATCATTTGTTACTCCTGGAATTCACCAAAGGACAATCCTGCCTCAGGGTCTCTGGACTTTTCCCTCTTCTTGGAATATTCTTTTCCTGGATACCCACATGATTGTTCTCTCTTCTATCAGGTCTTTAACGAGTTGTTTTTTTTTGTTTTTGTTTTTTTTTACTTTTCTCTAATACCTTGCTTTAATGATTTCCAGTACATGTATCACCTTCTGACATACATATTTATTGTCTACCTCCCTCCACTAAATATAAGCTACAAAAGTTGGATTTTGTATGCACAAATGTGTCCTCAACAGCTAGAACTATTCCTAACATGTCACCATTTTTATTCTGTTAGTCTCTTGCTGATGGTAGGATATATCTGTCAATAGACAATGCAAAGTGATTTTGCAAATTTTACAAAACAGGTGGGATATCATGACATTGACAGTAATGTTGGAGCAGAAGCAATGCCACTGACAAATGAAGATCTGGTAGCATTAGACCAGTTAATGAACAAAGACTACAAAACTGATAAGAGAAACAACACCACAGGCACACAGATATTGTTCCAAAATTTTACATCTTTTATTTTATTATTATTTTAAATCCTCACCTCAGGATGGATGGATAGATATATATGTTTATATACCTATACACATACATATATATCTATCCATATACATACATATGTATATTTGATTTTTAGAAAGAGAGGAAGGGAGAGAGAAACATCAATGTGAGAGAGAAACATCGATTGGTTGCCTCCTATATGCACCCTGACCAGGGATACAATCTGCAACCTAGGTATGTGCCCTGATGGGGAATCAAACCCACCGCCTTTTGGTGTATGGGACGATGCTCCAACCAACTGAGCCACCCGACCAAAGCCAAAATTTTACATCTTTTAAAGCACCCTTCACCAAAACAGGCAATTTAGTTTCTCTACTTCTCAAAGGTAGAGTCCTTCAGGTCTGACTCCATTGAAACTTCCTTTCCCACTAGTTTCAAAACTGTCCATATCTTTATCCGATCTTATCCTCCTCATGACTTCAATTTCTACCCGAAACTTATCCTTGACCACAATCCTGGCCTCTGGCTCCACATATCTAACTTTGAACTTTATGATATGGATGTTCCACAGACTCAAACTCTTTGCTGTGTCTAAAACAGATATCATTCCATGACTCAGCCTTCCGTCACTAACAAATCAACAGCCACCGAGTCTTACTATTCTATCTCTGCACTATTTCTCCAGCAACTCCAACCATCCCTTCTCAGCATCCCAGCCACCACTATCCTACACAGGGCTTCATCACATCTTGCCTGGCCTATTTTAATACTTCCTTATCAAGTTTAATATATCCCTCACTTTTGCCATATTAGGCTAATTGCTGATTTTCTAAAATATTAAGCACTTGCATGCTTTCTGTGCAATGTTACTCTTTGTTCATTATGTATTTCCCTTTATTATCACTAGAGGTTAATCTTCTGATGATGATACTATGTCATCATCTTATTTTTCCTGATACCTTCCCTCCTTCTGACTCAGAAAAACTGCTTTTTGTACACAGTCCTAAGAAATGTTTTTCATAACTCCTTATAGTATTTGTGATATTTACTATATTTACTGCACATGACCTTTACTTTCATTTTATATCTTCATTGCCTAGTACAATACAGGGCACTCAGTGCATGTTCAAAAAGTATTTGTTAATGAAATTGAAGAAAAGTCAAATCCATAGATAATTAAATAGAATGAAAGCTGACCAAAATCACTGAATTTGGCAATCATGTCACAAAAACCTTTGCCAGGACAATTTTGGTAGTGGGGTGGGAAGCCAGCTGCAAGGGGCAGAGGTATAACTGAGGATTTAGAAAAACAGACAGTAATAATGTTTACTCTTTCAAGACATTTGGTGATAAAGAAGAGAAGAGATGGGCTGCCAGACTGAAGGATTTTCAGGGTGAAATTAAGTTTGTTTTTTCCTCTCCATAAGAAAAGACTAGGTCAAAGATTTATTTAATCAGTCATAGGCTAGAGGAAAGGAGCAAGTAGGGAGAAACACATGAATAGGAGGGATAATCAAAGGTACGGAAGAGGTGGAAGGGAAGGGAATCCTGGAGAGTTAGAAGATGAACCTCTGAAAAGGGAAGGAGCTCTCTCTGAGATGGAATTGAGATGACAAAGATAAGAACTGAGAGGTGACAGATGTTTAGAGGGTAAAGATGTAGGGAGTCACAGTTGGTCTTTTTATTTTCTTTGTGTAGTTAGGGGCACCGACATCTTCATAAAACAAGTACCATAACTTCAGACTTATTCATTTAACAAATACTGACTGCGTGCCTACTATGTGCTAGGCACTGCTCTAGGCCCATAGAAATAGACAAAGATCCCTGCCCTTGTAGAGCTTATATGCTACTGGAGGATATAGACAATAACCAATATAATAAAGTGAATAAATATATATACATATATATGTATATGTGTGTGTGTGTGTGTGTGTATCCTATCTAATAAGAGAGAAACATGGTAATTAGCGTACGTCCGCTACCTTTCCCATTGGCTAATCAGGGCTATATGCAAATTAACTGCCAGCCAAGATGGCGGTTAACCACCAACAAAGATGGCGCTAATTTGCATATCCTGCAATGATGGGAGGCGAAAGGGGAAGAATGGAAAAATGGTGATCGGAAACCCAGGCGGCAGGCAAGAGATGGGGGCGGGCAAAGGCAGCCATCAGAAAGCCTGGTGGCCTGTGGCCTCATGATCCCCGCGGCAATCGCGGGGGGAGCGGGAGCCCGGGCGCAGGCTGGCCGTGTGATCCCTGAGGCAATCGGGCTGAACGGAGCCCGGGCGCAGGCTGGCCGCGTGATCCCCGCGGTGATCGGGGCGAGCGGGAGCCCGGGCGCAGGCTGGCCGCGTGATCCCTGAGGCAATTGGGGCAAGCGGGAGCCCGGGGACCCCAGCACCTGACATGCACAGGTCGGGGATGAAATGACTTTTCCCAACCACATCTGCAAATATCCTGGGGAAGGCATCACTGAAGAGTTCACAACTCTCTTACTTGGCAAGGAAGAAAAAATTTGGCAACGGAAACAATCCCTTACATCAAACTTAAGGTCCGTCTGGGTAAAAAAGAGTATTTCCAACGTAAAGTAGGGAGCAGGCAAAAATAATATGTTCTCATGA